GCCTGCCAAAGAAGAGGAGTCTCTTCCCCGGTTTCCCTCCTCCAGTGTTGTCTCCGCCAACGCTGTCCTCCAGCGCTGCAGCCGCAGATAGTCATGAGAAGGCAGATCCGACCACGCCACTCCTCTGATGACAGCAGGCTGCTGTCACCGTGGGATAAATGAGCTCTGTCATGGGTGTACAGCGCCATTACTTGCCCGCACCTACCCCTATCTCTGCAATCAAGTTGTTTATTTCACCCCTAAAAATACTGATGTAAAAAATTTTACATCAGTGTTATTGTGGGGCCTTTGCTTTTGCCATGTCCTCAGCTTAGTGTACCCACCTAGGACCTCCTCTCATCTGACTCACCTTTTTATCCTTTCACCTGCGCTCAGATGCCACCCCAAAAGGCCCAGTGCAGTGCCCCATCCTCTGGGACAGAAGCTTCCTGTGTCCACACATCTTGCTTAGCAAGTCCCACGTTATGTGGAAATCATCGTTATGGCTCCATCTCTTCCCTTGACTCTGAACTCCAGTGAGGGCAGGGACTGACTCTCACATACCTGGGTGGTTCCAGAGGCTGGCACAGACTGAACTGGAATGAACTAGAAAAGAGTTTGAGCTGTATCTAAATGGCATAAGGGTTTGTGCGTGGTAACGACCCAATCCAAGTTGCTCAGGGAACAGGGTAGGGCCAGGAGGGGGAAAAGAAAAAAAGGAACTTTTTTTAAAAACAAAAGGCTGGTGAGCTCCTTGGATCAGAAAATAGGTCTGAAACCATGTGTGTGCCTCCCACGCCCAGTGCTAGGGAGCGTGCCCTGTTAAAGTGGTGAGTTGCTTGACAGCTGAAGTAGGGATGATGGATTAGGGATAGGGAGAGGTACAGAAAAAGAAGGGAAAGAGGCTTGATTGTTTTGTTGACCCACCAACAACTGCTGCTTAGGATTGCTGCCGTTGATTGAAATTGAATAAATATTAAGCATTTCATTTATTCCTTCAGTAAATATTACTGGGTACTCACTGTAGGCCAAGCTGGAGAATGTCATAGCCAACCCTTATCAAGTGTTCCCTTTGTGCCAGGCTTGAATAGTTGTCCCCACAACCCCACAGGGGAAGAGAGATGGCAAGAAAGTATTTGCTCAAGGTTGTGCAGCTGGTGTGCGGCAGAGCCAGGCTTTGACCCAGGCCCGCACATCCAGAGCCTGGATTTTTAACTGCTTTGCTCCAGTTTTGCCTCTGAAGAAGATCAAACAAGACAGCACTCCTGTCTTCCTGAAGCTAGTGGAATTTCTTAACAGGTTGTCATTTTATTCCAGCAAATTCTTATTATAGAAACCAGCTGGTTATATTCAACATTCAAAAAAAGAAATTAAATCCTGGAGGAATGGTCCTCCAGAAGGCAAAGGAGAAACCACATCTGCCCTGAACCAAGCTCGCACAAATAATACCCAGCACATATACAGCTAATTTCTAGGTCTTTTTTTTTAAACTTCCTAATATTTAATTTAAAAAAATTTTTTTAATTCCGTGGATGCAAAATTTGGCAGATAGAAACAGGATGGAGTGGGTTGGCAGTAATCTACATGTGGGAAGAAAAAAATTGTAGTGAGAAAAAATAATTAATAGTTGGGATCTATTCAAATTCACATTATGTAAGGAGGGCTCTATTTTGGTTGGGTGAATCATCTTTTTTATTAAAAGGGAAATTATCAAAAAGTTATGGCTGTCCTAATGCTGAATTGGGGGAAGCAGCAATAATATTGATGTAAAATTTCAAAGTAAAATACTAAATAAAATATACTCACAACTCTGGACCGATAGAGTCTTATATAAAAGGCCTATATAGCCAGGTGCAGTGGATCACTCCTGTAATCCCAGCACTTTGGGAGGCCAAGGTGGGTGGATCACGAGGTCAGATGATCGAGACCATCCTGGCCAACATGGTGAAACCCATCTCTACTAAAAATACAAAAATTAGCTGGGCATGGCGGTACGTGCCTATAATCCCAACTACTCGGGAGGCCGAGGCAGGAGAATCCCTTGAACCCGGGAGGTAGAGGTTGCAGTGAGCCGAGGTGATGCAGCTGCACTCCAGCCTAGGTGACAGAGCAAGACTCCGTCTCAAAAAAAAAAAAGTCCTGTAACTATAAGAATTTGGAAAATTCAATCTGTTTTTAAACTTCATTTGATGTATTTTGTAAAGAACATATCTGTAAAAGATGAATATGCTGTTTTATGGCAGTAAATAATGCAATGTTTTAGCAGAAGCAATGGCATAATAATTGAACATTCATGTAGCACTTTAGAGTTTAGCAAGATTTTTGGGTTTTTTGTTTGTTTGTTTGTTTAGACAAGGTCTGGCTCTGTCACCCAGGCTGGAGTGCATGGCACAATCTTGGCTCACTATGACCTCTGCCCACTGTGACCTCTGCCCCCCTCGGCCTCCCACCTCGGCCTCCCAAGTAGCTGGGATGACAGACATGTGCCACCACACCCAGCCAAGTTTCTGTATTTTTGGTAGAGACAGGGTTTCACCATGTTGTGCAGGCTGATCTCAGACTCCTGAGCTCAAGCAATCCACCTACCTTGGCCTCCCAAAGTGCTGGGATTAGAGGTGTGAACCACTGCGCCTGGCCTAGTTTAGCAAGTATTTTTACAGTTTGGATTTTCACAAAGACTTTTAGCCCATGTGCAACTTTGCTCTTTTATCACAAAGAAACGAGGCAACTAAAAGGAACTAAAACTTCTTGGAGAAGCAGCTGATTTTAGGGCAAGGACAGGGAAGGAACAGTGGAAGCTTGGAATGAGAAGTGCTCAGCCTATGAGGGGGACATGTCAGAAGGTCACAGGAACCTGGTTGACAGGGCTCCCCGTCACCTGGGAAAATTTGAAGATCAAGGTCAATAGTATTAGTAATGGATTACAACCTCTTGGATAAAGTAAGAACCCATGAGTCTCTACTAATATAAATGAGTGAATAAATAAACAACTGGGAGAGGAGGCAAAGCTCCTCCTTAGAAAGCCAACTAATGAATGCAGAGGGAAGGGTGGACTGAGAAAGATCAACACTTGCCAGCCATCATCACAATCACTCGTTCAGACCAGAATCATTAGCAGTATTAAATTAAGGCCATTGAGGTTTGAGGGGTAACACGACGTTTATATAGTCTCAGAGTACCTCCCTAACAAGACACTTTTCATTACAAAAGGTGAAATGGTAACTCTCCAGTGGAAAGACCTGGCAGGTGCCCCCTTAACCAGATGATCCCCGGTGACCCCACCGGCAGTGGGACTCCTGTGCCCAGGCGGGAGGCAGTGACATTAGCTCAGCACCCCATCTCTGTGTCCCTGCCAAACGTGTTTTACCCAAACTAATCTCAAGGAAGCATCAGACCACATTACAAGAAGGAACCAAATAACTGGGGGCGCAATAAACATGACAACTGAATTCAATCTCTGACCATGGATTTCCTTTTGCTGTGAAGGTTATTATTTGGATAATAGGCAGTATCTCAATAAGTCTGTAGATTAGTATTGTTTCAGCATTAATTTTCTAATTTTGATCATTACGCTTTGGTTATTTAAGAGAGTTCTTTGTTTTTAGGACATACACACTGAAGCATTTTGGGGAGGGAAGGATGGGAGGAAGGATTTCCCAGGAAGGGATGCTGCTGTCATAGAACTCAGACCACAAAGTCAGCCTCTCTCGGCGCAGGCTGCCAGTTGAAGGGAAATGGGCCACAGCCCCATCAAGCCTCAGCAGCTCCCTGGGAAGACATGAGGGGCAGCTGCCTTGCCTCTTCCTGCCCTGTTCCTCTGTCTGTTTGCCTAGGCTGTTCCCCCCTGAAAATGCCCTCTACCCTCCTCACCTGCCTGGAGAAAGGCCAGCTTAGAGGTTTCACTAAAGGAGATGTAGAGGGAGAGTTCAGAGCCCTGGCTTCTCCTTCTCACATAGCCACCAACAAGAGAGGGAAGTGGGGAGTGGCCGCAGGATCCCTGCAGACCTCGGCGTCCTCCCCTGCATGATGAAGGGTCTGGACCAGCTGGTCTTTGTGACTTTCCAGCCATTTCCTACGAACTTGTCCCTCTCAGACTCATGAGTCTCAGCTTATCTACAAGCCCCTAGAAAGCTCGCCCTTTCTAGAAAGCCTTTCTAGAAAGCCCTAGAAAGCTGGCCTCAGGAAAGAAGCTATTGTCCCAACCCTGAGAGATTGACTTTTGGATCTCCTTTCTGGTATAAGTGGTGCTATGAGTGGATCGTGTGTTCAGACTTTTAGGACATTGCACTGATTTCTGTGGACGGTAAGTTTTTCAGTAAACTCACAGGTGTGCAGTTTGCAGACAGCTTGCTTGGCAGTTCGCTGGTTCATTCTTTCCTGCGCCATGTATATGAGGTACCTGCCACGGTCCAGGCCGGTGCTAGGCACACAGAGGGTCAGCTAGACACAGCCAGGGCTAGAGCCGCAGGGTGTACCTTATAGTCCTCTTGGAACAGTTTTGTAAAGTCAGTTTTCCTTGTGATGAGAGAGTGGTAGGCAGGAGAACTAGAAGCCCCACCCTGGTTCGCTGGTGGTTGTATGAACTTGTCTTAGCCAGATAACCTCTGTGAGTCTCAGTTTCCCCACCTGCTAAATGGGCATAGCAGTCTCACTCTGCTGCCTGTCCTGCCCTCCTCTTCGGAGCTGTGGCCGTTCAAGGGAAGAATTTTATGTAGTGCTTCATGAATATGAGGTGGTCTTGTTGTTAATCCCTCAACATGCATAGATAAAAGTGCTTTGAAAAATATAGGGTCTTAAACACAAAGAGAGAATGGCAGTGTCGTCTCTACCCTCTACTGATCTTAAAAGAAGGAGTACTGCTAGGATGTAATGGTAAGGAATCAGGGAATCAAGCTGTGGCTTCTTGTGGAGGAAACCTGTGGGGCTGCCTCCCTGTGCGGAGCCTGTGTCTGTGCTGTGCCAGCCCAAAGCCCAGAACCTGGTCCTTAGCAAGGGGACTGACTATGGCCTTGTCCTTCCAGTGCACCAGGTGGCGGAGCGGGTAGAGGCCCTGGGGCAGTTTGTCATGAAGACCAGAAGGACCCTCAAAGGCCATGGGAACAAAGTCCTGTGCATGGACTGGTGCAAAGATAAGAGGAGGATCGTGAGCTCGTCACAGGTAGGTCACACCTGCTGCGTAATGGGTGAGCGGGTTTTGGATTTTATAGCTAAGGGGGAGGAGGGCTGTCCCTTTCCAAAAGCCCTTTTCTGATCTTTGTAAGACTTTGCTCATTCTCCAAAGGATGTGATTTAGCATAAAGAACTCTCTTGCATACTATAGAACTTCACTAATTTGGGTAGATTTGAAGTTGATAATAGTTGAAACAGTGTAGATGTAGTTTAACCAGTGTGATGAGCCACTGAAAATAATTTCAAAGTCTTATTTGTAAATGAAACCATTTTTTAAATAGTTTCTTTTTTTCCCCCCCCAAATTGAGGGCATAAGATTCTATCAATGACTTTCTTTCAATTTAAGGCGTTTAGCAATTCTTATGTCGTAAAGAACAATGTTAAGATACATATCTTGTAAAGTACAATTTTAAAAATCATATCATTTACATAGTTTATTTTATATATTATTTATTAGTTATCTATTACTCCAAAAAATTACCCCAAATTTAGCAGCTTAATAATCTCACATGGTTTCTGAGAATCAGGCATCCGGGAGTGGCTCCGCTGGGTGGTTCGGGCTCAGGTGGTTTGTGAGGTTGTGTGAAGATGCTGGTCGGGGCTGTGGTTGCCAACAGCTGAACTAAGGTGGAGACTCACTTCCAGGGTGCCTTGTTCACATGACTCTTGGCTGGAGGCCTCAGTTCCTCACCATTGGACCTGCTCACAACATGGTAGCTGGCCTCTCCCAGAGCGAGTGATCCACAAGAAGGGGCAGAGGCAGGGCCATACTGTATTTCATGACCTGGCCTCAGAGGTGACAGTCCATTGCTTCTGTTGTATTCTGTTGGTCACACAGAATAACCCTGATATAAAGAGGAAAGAGACTATAGAAAAGTGACTACCAGGAAGCTGGAATGATTTGGACTCCAAGTCTCACTTGGAGTCTGGCTCCCACAGCTTAGTACTTTTGATGTCTATTTTTATGTAACATGTATTGAACATAAAGCTATAAACTGAAGTCACATGAGATATTCTATAGGCTGGTTGTGGGGCTCATGCCTATAATCCCAGCACTTTGGGAGGCCAAGGCGGGAGGATCACTTGAATCCAGGAGTTCAAGACCAACCTGAGCAACATGGTGAGACCTCGTCTTTACAAAAATAGAAATAAAAAATTAGCTGGGCATGGTGGTGCATGTCTGTAGTGCCAGCTACTTGGGAGGCTGAGGTGGGAGTATTGTTTGGGTGTAGGAGGTCAAGGCTGCAGTGAGCTGAGATTATGCCACTGCACTCCAGCCTGCGCAACACAGTGAGACCCTGTCTCAATAAAAAAAGAGATCTTCGGCCGGGCGTGGTGGCTCACGCCTGTAATCCCAGCACTTTGGGAGGCTGAGGTGGATGGGTCACCTGAGGTCAGGAGTTTAAGACTAACCTGGCCAACATGGTGAACCATCTCTACTAAAAAATACAAAAATTAGCAGGGGATAGTGGCGGGAGCGTGTAATCCCAGCTACTCGGGAGGCTGAGGCAGGAGAATCTCTTGAACCTGGGAGGTGGAGGTTGCAGTGAGCTGAGATCGTGCCACTGCACTCCAGCCTGAGCAACGGAGTGAGAGTGTTTATTTTTTTCTCAAAATCTTATTTTTTCTATAAATCATATTTTTATGATCAGCATAGTTTTCCCCCAACCCCTGCCTTGTGCTCAGTTTTTCCAAAAGCAGGTTGGTTTGCTTTTTTATATAACCCTTGTAAAACTGGATATACTCTAGAGAATCCACAGACTCAGTTTTGCGTTTGATAGGACAAATGTTATTACTCTCCTGGATTACCTACAAATCTAGTATGTCACATTGCACTTGCTTTTTTTTAAGATCAAAATTAATTTATCACTTATGTATTTTACTACATTAAAGAAACACTGGAAAATAAAAACCTTTTACTCCCACCATCCTGTCACAACCATTATTATTACTTTTTCTTTTTCTTTTTTCTTTTCTTGAGATGCAGTCTCACTCTGTTACCCAGGCTGGAGTGCAGCTCACTTCAGCCTTGACCTCCTAGGCTCGAGTGATCCTCCTGCCTCAGCCTCCCAAAGCACTGGGATTATAGACGTGAGCCACCTTGCCCTGCCCGTTATTATTATTTTAGAGCACTTCTTTCTAGTCTTTTTCAAGAGCTTATTCTTACAAGGTGCTTCTCAGGATATCCATGTTGCTCTGTAGCCTTTCGACTTAAATCCAGACAAGGTAGGCTTTGCGTTGGGTTTTCTGTCTCTCACATACTGCTGTTGGAAGGGAGGACCTTCAGCAGGGCTGGGCACACCCTGTCCATCCTGCTCTGTTCCAGAGCTGGAAGAGGTGGATGTGGGTGTGGGGAGGAGGCTGGAAAGCAGGAAGCCTCTGGAACAGACTTGGACACATCAGCAGCCTTCCTGCTTCAGTGCAGGAGAGTCATCACCCCAGCCACGTGGGATTAAGGCTTGAGGGTAGAAGCATATTTTCTGTCTTGGTACATAGACCCCTACACATAAATCTGTGCTCACCAAGGAGACCACACTTAGTTTAATGAGACCCCAGAGCACACAGTGGGTGGCACACACAGGGACTCCAGAGCACACATGGGGGGACAGGCAGGCAGTGAGGTGGAAGAAGCCCGTAACGTGGTCGCTGATGTGGGCAGTGCATGGAACCAGTCCCCAGCCATTAGGGGCTCCAGGTGCGGAGGACCCCATGATACAGGCGTGTGGCCCCACTCCAGTTTCTGTGCTACAGGCTTATCGAATCCACCCCACACATTGTGTGGGCCATTTAGGCAGAAATTAAGACCAGAAGAACTAATGTGCTTTGGAATCTCAGAAGGCCCCAAACCACCAACTTTGACCTTGCTTCAGGGTCCATCTGCCATGCATGGTGTTAACACAGAAATCTTCCATCAGATCATGCAAAGCAAGCAGCTGTGTCACTGCAGATCCAATCTTGCTTCTGCCCTTAAGTGATGTTTTCCATCCATATCTCTGCCACCTCATTCACCAAAATTTGGCCCCAAATGGCTTGAGTTATTACAAAATCAAGCCTGCCATAGTGGCTGTAGATTTCCCATCCCTGAGGATCCGATCTTCTTCCACTGTCTGCCCAGCAACCTGCATGCCACGGTCTGGGCAGGGGACTGCTTTGCAGGGACCAGGGCTCACATGGATTTACCTCTGATGGGTTTTCATTACAAATAGATGATGCTATAGTCACAACCCACACCCACGGGAGGCCACAGCTGGGTTGCCGTGAAAGTGGCAGCATTCTCTGTGGCAGGGCCAGCTCTGCGTTCACCCTGGCAGGGAGTGCTGTTTGCTTACTGAACAGCTGCCCACAGGAGTTCCCACCACGATGGCGCATATTGCACGTTGTTCTCAGCGTAGGTGCGAAATGTCAGAGCTGGAGCTGTGACATCTGTGAGCCCCTGGAGGAATTAGACTGATCTCAGGCCCATTCCGCCCCCTCCGCAGCTGTCCCTGGCAGAGAAATGGACAGCAAATGGGGAGAGGGGTTCCTGGATAGTGCCGCGGGGACCATGGGCTCCAAAGCAAATGGGAGAAAGGACAAAGTAGCGGAGATGTTGTAGGAGAAAAAGATTAATTATTTACCTGTCAGGTCCCTAAAGGTAATGTCAGGTTTATCTTTCCTCTGTATAATTTGTTGACATTTAGGGTATGGCGGGTGATGATAGTGTACCAACAGTTTGTGCATGGTTTGTAAATGGTATGAAAGTGTCTGCGTGTTGTTTCCTGTTGTTGTATCTTTCGAAGGAATGTAAGGTTGAGATCCTTCGGCTCCACTGGGACATCCAGCCCCTCCCGCACTCACTCCGCTTCTTTTCGTGGAAGGTTAGGGGGTCTTGATTATCCAGATCCTCATTCCGGCTTTCCACTTCACACTGCCCTGCTGGACACAGCTTTTATGAGGAATTCTCAGCAGTAATATGTAAGAACTTGACAACCTCTGAACTGTTTGCTCTTCTCCCTCCAGGATGGGAAGGTGATCGTGTGGGATTCCTTCACCACGAATAAGGTGAGGCATTGTTCCCAGCCACATTAGGCACTTCAGAACCCCAGCCTAGTTAAAGGTGCTCTGGTCCAGCTGCCCAGCCCTGTCCTGATTTTTCTCCATGTGTCCCTGCAAGCAGTTTTCTCTAGGGATGGCCCATCCGTGTTTGAACAGCTCAGCCAGCCCATTGCAGCCTTTATTCCCCTCTCACCCCGAGAGGACTATTAGAGCCACTATAGGGGCTGCCAGTACCAACATAGAAATGGGCAGAGCATGGAAAACTTGCGTCCACGTGTGCAACTGCATGTACTATTTGTCTTCTGAGTGATAAGAGGCACCGAAATCCTCCATTCCCTCCCCTCTGTTTGACCGGACTCCATAGCCCTGTGGGAATGAACGCATGGAGGGTGGGGAAGATGAGGCTGCAGTGGAATTGGGCAGAGCTACCCTGTGATGCAGTCTGATCCCCTTGCAAGTCTGGCCTGGGCATGCACAGCTCAACTTTTAAATTTTAGCTCTTAATGAAAGTTGAAGACCAAAACCTACGTGCAGGTATGCTGGCACACCTGCATTGCATTGGCATTTACAATAAAGAGTATTGTGTATTAAATAAGAATTCCTATATTTCTTTAGAAAGCCTTCCTTTATGCTGTGAACAACATGAGACCTGTCTCTGTCTCATAGTGAACAGCAGCCATATTCCGCATTGTCTAATGTGTTTAGTCACTGTCGTGGGAAGCAGCTGGTGACATGACCTGGTCAAGTGAGGGGCCAGAATCATTTTGTAGAGTCAAGTCCCTAATGGTCAGTCCCCTGGGGAATACAAATGACAGCTTAACAATTTGCACAGGGCTTTGCTATACAGCGCCTAGCTCCCTGGAAGCCTCCGTCTCTCCCAGCACTCCTCAGCATCTTCTGGACTGTGCAGGAGTGTAGTTGCTTCTGTTTACACCTTATCATGGCTTAGAGCACAGACTGATTTCTGGGGAGCCAAGGGTGCCACTTGTGGCCCGTGGCAGGGAATACAGCCATTACCTGTGAGGAAGGGGGCCCGGGATACCCTGTGCTGACAGTGGCTACCTCAGCTCGTTCTCTGGAGAGCAGTAGATTATTCTTGGCCTCTGAAAGCCTACGAGACTGCTATTGACAATAGTATTTGGGCAGGCAGTATTGGGGCCTGTGTTTCCCCACAAAAACACATATAATTATAACAGAGAAGACGACCAGCACTTGAGTGTACATTGGAAGCATGAAGAACTAAGCGCGCCCGTCCCTGGCTGCTGGCTGGCTGAGTCACCCCTGTCCTCCTGCACGCAGTTATGCAAACAACAGAGCCATATTTCCAATACATCTGAGCTTGAGGTCTTACTCCCATGGGAGACGTGGACCCTGGTCCTGGTTCCACCACCACCAAGATGTGCGACCGCATGCAGGCCAGCCGCTTGTGCCCACGGTGGTTCTTATTCTCCCTGTGAAGCCAGAAGCCAGGGACTGCCATGCTTAGTTCTTAATATTTCCATGTTACCAGTTCTCATTGTCTGTGAGCACAACCGAAGATCGCCTTCCCCTCCCCGCACCCATTCATACCTTCCCTGGCATGATTTAGGTCCCACAGTGGACACAGGCTCTTGCAGACTCACAAGTAAACAAACTGAAAATACATCTATAAAAAGTCATTCCAGAGTGTATTTTTAAAATGGAAATCAGAGTAAACAAGGAAACGTATGTATCTGAAAGGAGATTTGGGCATACCTTTCAAAGCAAAGGGGCCCTGATACTCAGGCAGAAGAACAAAGGGAGTATGACATTAAGAAGGAAGTAAAACATGAAGGGTTTTTGTTTTGTTTTGCTTTGCTTTTGCTAGTTGAACTTTTTAACTTTTCGAATATGTGACATAAAGTTGATTATGAGAGTCCCCTCATAAGTCTTGAGCCCATCTTTACCCTATACCACTTCCTTTTGAAACTAGAATGTAATTCAGTAGGCATCTGGTGATTTTATTTTCTAAAATTTAAACGTTAAGATTTTTGTGGCCAGGCACGGGGGCTCACACCTGTAATCCCAGCACTTTGGCAGGCCGAGGTGAGCAGATCACTTAAGGTCAGGAGTTCGAGACCAGCCTGGCCAACATAGTGAAACCCCATCTCTACTAAAACTACAAAATTAGCCAGGCGTGGTGACACATGCCTGTAATCCCAGCTACTCAGGAGGCTGAAACAAGAGAATCGCTTGAACCCGGGAGGCGGATGTTGGAGTGAGCTGAGATTGTGCGACTGCACTCCAAACTGGCAACAGAGTGAGACTCCATCTCAAAAAAAAAAAAAAAAAAAAAATTTTGTGTGGAAGTGCTAGTTGTCCACTCTTCCACTCTGTGCTGTGTTTCAGGAGCACGCGGTCACTATGCCCTGCACGTGGGTGATGGCATGTGCTTATGCCCCATCAGGATGTGCCATTGCTTGTGGGTAAGTTGGAGCTACAGCAGCTTTTCAGATTTTGTGTTAACCATAAAATACTGTTCTCTTAGCAAAAACAAACAAACAAACAAGAACTCGTAGTTTTTGTAGTTTACTTGTGAAGCAGCATGCTAAATCCTTCCCTGAACTTGGTCAAAGGAGAAACCGTAAGCTGGCACACTGGTGCCTGCTTGTAATCCCAGCCACCTGGGAGGCTGAGGTGGGAGGATCACTTGACCCCAGGAGTTCAAGTCCACCTTGGCAACAAAGCAAGACCCCCATCTCTTAAAAAAAAAAAAAAGAACCATAAAACTCTCTTTCATAATTATTTTCATTTCAAACTGACAGTATCTCAAACCTATCTCATCTCTCAAACCTATCTCCTCTCTCAAATGCTTTTGGCAGAACTATAAACGTTGCAAACATTTTGGAAAGCAACTTGGTAATGTCTGTCAGAAGCCTTGAAAAACTGATAGCCTTTGATCTGGTGACTCCACATCCAGGAACTCATTTGAAAGGAATGATCCAAAACATACAAAAGCCATATGGACAATGACATTAATTGTAGTATTTTTAAAAATAAAGCAAAAAACACCAGGCGTGATGGCTCTTGCCTGTAATCCCAGCACTTTGGAAGGCAGAGGCAGGAGGATCACCTGAGCCCAGGAGTTCAAGACCAGCCTGGGCAATGTGGTAATAATACCTTGTCTCTACAAAAAAAAAAAAAAAATCTAATTAGCTGGGTGTGGTGGTATATACCTGTAGACCCAGCTATTCTGGAAGCTGAGGTGGGAGGACTACTTTGAGCCTGGGAGGTTAAGGATGCAGTAAGATGTGATCATGCCACTGCACTCCAGCCTGGGTGACAGAGTGAGACCCTGTCTCAAAAATAAAATAAAACAAAAAAAAAAAAAAAAAGGAAAAGAAAAAAAGAACCAACATACCCATCCAGGAAAACTTAAGTGAATTGTGGTACATGAATTGAATGGAATATCATACAGCCATTAAAAAGGAAAATTCTTAATTACACTATGTGAAAAGGGCATCAAGATTACTAGGAAGAGTGTGCCTTATTCCCTATTCTCCTGGAGCTCAGTTTAACAGATTTGGCAATGAGAACTGAAACCGACATAATTCCTGGTCCCTGTGTTGAACAATTCTGAGACCATTCAAGATATTTCTGCCACAGTATCTCAGCCATGTTTTTAAAAAGAGGCATATTAGGCCAGGCGTGGTGGCTCACGCCTGTAATCCCAGCACTTTGGGATGTTGAGATGAGCGGATCACGAGGTCAGGAGATCAAGACCATTCTGGCTAACATGGTGAAACCCCATCTCTACTAAAAATCCGAAAAATTAGCCGGGCGTGGTGGCGGGCGCCTGCAGTCCCAGCTGCTCGGGAGGCTGAGGCAAGAGAATGGCGTGTACTGGGGAGGCGGGGCTTGCAGTGAGCTGAGATCGCGCCACTGCCCTCCAGCCTGGAGACAGAGCGAGACTCTGTCTAAAAAAAAGGAAAAAAAAAAAGGGCATATTATAAAGGCTGGGAGGAACTATACCAAATAAAATAGTAGTTCTTTCTGGATGATGGGACTATGGGAATTTTTCTCTTTATAATCAGGAAGAAAGAATTTTATTTTAAAGAGGAAAAGCCTGAGTCCCCAAGCAAACGTTTTGGAGCCCTCTTCAGCCAGTCACACCAACCATCTTCTCCAGTGTCCCCACCCTTTGGGTGGGTGCTTTGGGGACATATTCTCATTCTCCTTCCAGTGGCCAAGACCACATGTCCCTTTGGAGCCCATGTTCACATACATGTATTTCACTTTTTTTTTTTGAGATGGAGTTTCGCTCTGTCACCCAGGCTGGAGTGTAGTGGTACGATCTCGGCTTACCGCAGCCTCTGCCCCCCAGGTTCAAGCCATTCTTCTGCCTCAGCCTCCCAAGTAGCTGGGACTACAGGCATGCACCACCATGCCCAGCTAATTTATATATATATATATGTTTTTTTAAGTAGAGATGGGGTTTTACCATGTTGGCCAAGGTGGTCTCGAACTCCTGACCTCAAGTGATCTGCCTGCCTCGGCCTCCCAAAGTGTTGGGATTACAGGTGTTAGCCACTGCACCTGGCCCATATTTTTTAATTTTTAAAATAACTCAAAAGTGGATTATGTCTCCACTTTATAGATGGATGCCAGTATTTATATAAAATTTATTACCATCTACTTCCTAAAAGGATAAGAGGTGCTATAATAAAAGATATATATGTAAACATATATATATACACATATATATATTTGTACTACATGTGTAACACATCTATTAGAGAACGCAAGCAAGGGAGAAATAGGCCACAATTATAAGGTTGGTGCAAAGGGGTTTAGCCAACTACAGTTAGCAGGCACAGTTCCAAGAGTGCCCCTTACTTCAGATCCTGGCTACAAATTTGAGGGTCCCCACAACCCCAGGAATTCTCTAAAACAACTCTCCAAACTCATGAAAGTGCTGTACTTACTCCCACAGTTTTATTACAGTGGAAAGATACAAATTAGAACCAGCCAAAGGAAGAGACCCCTGGGGCAGAAGCCAGAAGGCGTCTAGACATGGAGCTGCCAGCCATCGTCTCCCTGGGGTGGTCACTGACAGCGCTGTTTCCTCTTGGCCACGGTGTATGATAATACATGCAGAGTATTGCCAGTTGGGGAAGGTCCTCTGAGCCTTAGGTGTCCAGAGGTTTTACTGGGGCTTGACCACACACTGCCTGTGTGGTTTACCTTTAGCCTCCAGTCTCTCTAGAAGTTCGGGCAGATACCTTTCGTCTCAAGTTCCTCTGGAGATCAGACCTGATATGACGCATCCGAAAGCCCCCATCATAAATCACATTATTAAACTGGTGCCCAAAGCCCCAAGCAAACCAAGCCACTCTTACCATGGAGGACATTCCAGGGGCCCAGAGATCACTTCCAAGTAGCTGAGGGCAAAAGCCAGACCTCTCCTGCAGTGTCAGTTCTTCACTACTCAGTAGGAATCATAAGTTCTCCACATTTTTTTAAATCCTAGGGTAATACGTTTCTAATTGGACATGAATTTTAGCAGATGCATAGAGCTGGATGTGTTACATAATCCCTCAGTGTCCAGTATTGAACTATTAGATATGCAGTTCTAAATTGTAGAAAGAATATATTGGATAGGCCCTTCTGCAATGTATGGTGAATATGAGAACAGTGAACAATATCTTCAACAGTAGTTTAGGAAATGATGCTGTGGCTGTTTCTTAATTTTACCCTCACTAAATGGAATGCAGCGCAAGAATTCCCATGAGGGTAGTGGGATGGAAGGAAGAGAGCAGCATTACCAGGCCCAGATAGATAGCTTTCTGGTAACTTAGCTTGATGCAGACACAGAGTTCAGAGTGGAGGGATGGCTGGCGCCCTGATCTTTGTCATCTCTGTTTCCCCACCCTGCCATGTGGGAGGTGCTAGCACCTTTCCTGGCTGCCTCACTGGCTGTTACAGGGGCCAACACAGAGGAAGTTCAAGGTATGAACACTTATGAAGGCATTTTTTAAAATGTGGGGGTCTAGTGGATGAGAGAGCGTCAAAGATGAAACTAATACTCCTTATCGCAGGTAGAAGTACCATCTCCCCTTCCCAGACCTTTCCCAAAACTGCTAAGAGCAGCTGTGATTCATTTGAGTTTCTAGTGGCAAGTCTGACATAACATTTCCCAAACATGACTGTATGACATCCCTGCAACTGTATTATCACATAGACCTGCACTGATGCCACATTCTCTAAATGTCATCGTAGGTAATAATGGGGTTATTTTTTATCTTAATTTACCTGGCTCCTGGGTCTCTCGCTCAATTGTTTCCAAACTTGAAAGCTAAAACTCAAATGGTATTGGCACAATCCCCTTTCCCCAAAAAATGTGTCAATTGATTATATATACAAGTATTTCTCATTTAAGAGCCGTATCCCCAAGAAGCTTTCATTTAGGTATTGTATACTTACTACGAGCTCCTGTGTGCAAGGCACTGGGCCAGGTGTCATCATGGATTTCGAAGATGAATACGTAACCAAGATCACAACATTAGTTGGGTACTAAAGCAGAGATTCAACACTGGATGCATCACCCTGCAAAACCTTCCTGCTTCTCGTACCAATGCAAATAACCCTAAGTAATAAGTATCTCAACAGAAATTACTCAGGATGGGGAGGACATATCCCAGCTTAGGGGTCAGGGAGGACCATAGTCCACAGCATGCTTGTCCCTTACCATAGCCTAAGTACAAATCATTCTCTGCCCATTTTTTTTTTTTTTTTTTTTTAAGACAAAGAGTCTCACTCTGTTGCCCAGGCTGGAGTGCGGTGGTGTGGTCTTAATTCACTGCAACCTCTGCCTCCCAGGTTCAAGCAATTCTCCTGCCTCAGCCTTTCAAGTAGCTGGGATTACAGGTGTGTGCCACCTCGCCCAGCTAATTTTTGTATTTTTAGTAGAGTCAGGGTTTCTCCACATGTTGGCCAGGGTGGTCTTGAACTCCTCACCTCAGGTGATTTGTCTACCTTGGCCTCCCAAAGTGCTAGGATTACTGGTGTGAGCCACCACGCCCAGCCTCCCCTGCACATTCTATAAACAAGTTTGCCAAAGCTAATTACTGATAAGAAACTACCCAAGGATACACCTGTGCATCTCCCAGGAAGCTGGGAAAGCAGAAGGGACCCTTGGCTTTCCCAGTGCGTCAGAAAACAGTGACCCCATCTGTTCCCTACAAAAAGAAAGCAGAGCACCTTAGGGTAAGGCTGGGGTTAGGTCTTTGGGGGAAAAGAATAAAGTGAGGCTAGGATATTTTCTTGTTCTAGAAAGTAAAGGAACATTCAAGGACCAATAGGTGTCATATATAAAACAAAACAAAACAAAACAGGAGCTGGCTTGAAGCGGCCCCAAATTTGGGGTAATTTGAGCATCAAATGTAGTAATGATAATAATGGATCATGATACAATTAAGAAGAAAAGTTTATGGCTGTACAGTGATAGTGGGAAGGAGGATTCTTCATTACAGAAAAACACCAGCTAATAAATATGGAAGACATTATCAAAATAAATCACCCTTTTGCACCCCTAAAGTAATACTTGATTCAAGCAAGGTTTGATTCATAAAGTTTCTGTATGAAAGTGGTTGAGGAAAGGATATTTTTATGGTCTCAAAATATCACACCACAGATTATCACTGATTATGAACAAATTACCTTTACCCTGGAGATATCTAGTGGTCCACCTTAACCAAGTAATCAAAGTTGGCTTTACCAATCTTGGAAGAGACATTACAAGCCTTCTGACATGAAGCAATAAGAAAGAAGTACACAGTAGCACCTTGATACTCTTATTGCCAGAATGTTCTACAGTACTTGAATCTAACCATTAAGAAACCATCTGACAAATCCACCATATGTGACATTCTATACACAGCCAATCTTAAGATTTCCTGTCATGAACAACAAACAGTAGGTAGAGTCTGTTCTAGATTAAAAGATCTTAAAAAGGCGTAACAACTGAATGCAATATGTGAGCCTTGGTTGGGCCCTCGATCCTGGCGACAATAGGGGAAGATTGAATATGGCTGGCTTATTAAATGATGTTACGGAGGTTTTGTTGATTTTCTCAAATGTGATAAGGATGTGGTAGATAGGAGACTGTTCTTATTTTTAGGAGATGTAAATTTGCAAATGGAAGTGTTCAGAAGGAAAATGTCGTATCTGCAGTTTGCAGTCAAATGGTTCAGAATTTGCCCCTGCAGATATGACAAAATGTTACATCTGAATCTAAGGGAAGGGATCTGGGTATTCAGTATACTATTCTTTTTTTTTTTTTTTCAGTTTTACAGTAGGTTTGAAAATCTTCAAACTGGCCGGGCGCAGTGGCTCACACTTGTAATCCTAGCACTTTGGGAGGCCAAGGGAGGATTGCTTGAGGCCAAGAGGTCAAGACCAACCTGGACAACATAGCGAGACCCTGTCTCTATTTAAAAAAAAAAAAAAAAAAACTTTAAAAGTTGGAGGAAAGGTTACAATATATGATACTGCTAAAGAGAATATGTTGAAAAGTTTATGTGATTGGGAAAGTAGACCCATATTCTGTTACTCTGCATTAACCTTTGGTACTTCTTTCTTTCCATCCTAGTGGTTTGGATAATAAGTGTTCTGTGTATCCCTTGACGTTTGACAAAAATGAAAACATGGCTGCCAAAAAGAAGTCTGTTGCTATGCACACCAACTACCTGTCGGCCTGCAGCTTCACCAACTCTGACATGCAGGTAAATAAGCGGCCCCCGGTGTCAGGTTGACCTGCCAAGGAGCACTAAAGAGGAGCAGAGAGGAGAGGAAGTTTTTGGCATCTCTGTGAACAAGATGGGTGTGCTCCAGTAGTTTGCTCTAAGGGGAAGCTCCCATTGTTTCTCATCAGTTATTATTATGACTTTTAATAACGTGAGAAAGTTGGGGCTAGTGATGGTTGATAGAGTTGAGATAAACTACATGGCATATTGAAAATCCTCCTCTGATTGACTTGGCGAGGGTGGGAGTGGAGCAGGGAACCCCCTGGGGTAGAGGCAGTTACTGTGCCCTAGTCTGCGTGCTAACGTGTGTAAAGCTTCACTGAGCTGTCAGGCTTCAGAGCTGGGCACTACATGCATCTCACTTTACAGTCCTGTTTTAACCAACGCAAAAAGAAAATGCTTCACCATATTAAATCTTTGCTCTACTTTGAATACACTACAGTGAAAACAACACAACCTTTAACAGTTTGACTAAGTTTTATTTCGCAAGTGGTGAAAGCACCGCATCATTTATTTATTCACACTTATTCAGCAAACCTTCTCAGTACCTACTACCCACATTGCCAGATACCACATGGCTCTGGGGCCAAAAGCTCAGTCTTGGCCCTCAGGGACCTTCATGAAAACCAGTAATGGTTGGACAGTGGCGGAACTGGGGAGCTCCGAGCAGGAGGGGTTGGTCACAGACTTGCTACTGTCAGTGAAGAGGGACCGCTGCCACTCCAGGCAGCCACAGCGTGTGAGGGAGCACAGTGGGAGGCAGGCAGCTGAGAGGTGGGTGGGGCCAGATCCCAGGGCTCCCTGAGTGCCTGGGCTGGACCCTGTAGGTGGCGGGAGCCCTTAAGGGGTGAGTCAGATTTGGGTTTGTTTGGAAGAGGAGGGTGTCTGAGTTAGATTACAGCCTTCCGTAGTTTACTCTGGCTTCAGTGATTGATGTCAGGGGAATGGGGAGGTTAGAAGCAGGGAGGTCAGGTGGCTGGGTAGTTGTTCAGTTGCTGACAGGAGGGATGTTGGGACTTGCAATATCGCCATTGTGCACCTGTTGTTTACACCTAATATTGGAGCCTAACCAGGAATCTTGCAGACTTGTTCAGCAGGGGGCACTGTGGCCACTGGCTGGCTGCAGTGGCCAAAACCAGATGTCTTTGGGCCTGAGGCAAACCAAAGCAACAGAGGACATTTAAGCTGGATGAAGGCAGGCTCAGGGGGCTACCGCAACCATCAGGCATCTGAAGCCCCTCTGTGGAGACTCATCAGCCTCACTCTGTGTTGCCACAGGGCAGGGTTGGGGATGAAAGGGGGCACCTCTAGGTTAAAAGGTGCTTTCTTTTCCAACAAGTAGCTTAGCCAGAGATAGAGGGAAGTCCCAGCTGGCTACCTCGGCGGGGACGTGGCCTGGGAGGCAGAGCAGGTAAAGGGTGGCTCCGGAGACAGACAGTAAGATTAGATCCTGGCTCCACCATGTTCTAGCTAGTGATCCTAGACAGCATTTGAATTTCTGCATGCTTCATTTTTCTTACCTGCACATGAGGATAGTAAAGTATTAAATCTGTCCTGCATAAGGTTTTCTGAGACTTAAACGAGATGATTCATATAAATAGTATAGTCCCTGGTAAATATTAGTAAGTGTTAACTGTTATTATTTATTTGTTTGTTTGTTTGTTTTTTGAGTCAAGGTCTCTCTCTAGTACCCAGGCTGGAGTGCAGTGGCACAGTCTGGGCTCACTGAAGCCTCCACTACCCAGGCTCAAGTGATTCTCCTGCCTCAGCCTCCCAAGTAGCTGGTGGGCCTGTAGTGGGTCTGCAAGCACGCGCCACCATGCCTGGCTAATTTTTGTACTTTTTGTAGAGATGGGGTCTCGCTGTGTTGCCCAGGCTGGTCTTGAACTCCAGAGCTCAAGCGATCCATTCACCTTGGTCTCCCAAAGTGCTGGGATTATAGGCGTAAGCCATCACACCCAGCCAATTTTATCATTATTAACACAAAGCTTCATGGGTGATTCTGATACACAGCCTAGTTTGGGTACTACTGAACTCATGAACCTCCAGCTTTCTTCAATCCCTGGGATCTAGGATGATAAAAGAGAAACTCAAGTGGCTGGTATGAGACTATGGTATTAAACCTACAAATTCTCTGCATTCCAGAACAAATGAGTGACAATGAGTTAGGGGTTCTGTTTAATGCATTTATGTGAATAAATGGTCTTCAAAATTTATTTTTACTTATAATGAAGATCACAAACACAAAATTGAAAAGTATTAGAAATCTACTTTTAACTTTTAAAAACTATTCATTTTTTTTAACCAAACAGTATGGTATGAAAATTTCCTAAATTAAAGAGCAAGACTGGGTCGTTGCTTAAAGAAAATTGTTTGGACCTGGTATCTCAAAATAAACTGTAAGTTATTGCAAGTGTTAGGAAAACGGTGAGTTGGAACAACCACTAGTGGGTGTGGGCCAGGAGAGACTAAGGGAATTCAAGCGTCTAACAAAATATTAATACCCAAATTCAGCCTCGGTTCAGGTTTTGTGTGTCCATAAGCTACTTTGCCAGCTTAAGTCATCTTATTGGATGTATGCAGGCCTCCTGAGGGAAGTCGAGGCTGGAGGGGGTCCTGTGGACAGCCAGTAGGTTCAATGCTAGGGTGGGAGCAGATTCCCCTCCTTGTAATTTGTTCCTTCCCTGCAGAAAAAGAAAAAAAAAAATGAGTTTTTTTTTTTTTTTTTTTTTGAGACCAAGTCTTACTCTGTTGCCCAGGCTGGAGTGCAGTGGCGTAATCTCAGCTCACTGCAACCTCTGCCCCCCAGGTTCAAGCAATTCTCGTGCCTCAGCCTTCCGAATAGCTGGGACAACAGGCATGAGCCACCACAACTGGCTAATTTTTGTATTTTTAGTAGAGATGGAGTTTTACCATGTTGGCCAGGCTGGTCTTGAACTCCTGACCTTGGGTGATCCGTCCACCTTGGCCTCCCAAAGTGCTGGGGGGAAAATGAGATTCTTTATGTGCAAGGCCTAACATATAAGAGAGAGGGGAAGAAAAAGGCAAAGGGGGCAAAGGGTGAGGAGGAGAGACCCTCTCAGCAGCTGGAAATTGAAGGTGTGGTGTGGTCGGTGGGTGCATTGTGTGCTAGCGGCACATAAGGCCTGATTCCTCTTTTCTTTCCTCAGCCATCAGTCATCACCCACAAAGGGCCATCTTGCGGACACTTACGCTGCAAGAGCCACTTTCTCCAGTCTTATCACCCCACCCAGGCCCTGTGGAGAAGCCAGAAGGCAGGGAGTAGGGAGGCTCTGCTATCCAGAGCTTCTGCCTTGCAGGTCCCCTCCGTTGCTGTCAGTACCCAGCTGGCTCAGGGCTCTGTGATGCCGCCAGCTGGGCCTATGAGGGCGCTGAACTGAGTCCTCACTGCGTTTCTCCCAACCCCAGGAAGGTATGCTCAGCCAGAGCCCGGGCCTCACACACACTGGCAGTGACAAAAAGTAAAACTTCAGCCCCGCCCCCGTGTCTTTCCCCTGGCACCCCCGTGTGCCTTTACTCTATGGCTGACCTTTGTACTCGTAAGCTATCTAGAGGCTCTTTGGGCCTCCGCCAGAGTTTCCTAAAATATACGTTTGCTCTTCTCATTCTCCTGCCCAGAAGCTTCCAGAGTGCCCTCTTGGCTTCAGGCTGAGTCCCCACCTGTGAACGGACTCACCTTTCATTTAGTGCAGACATAGGCCCCCCTGGAGTTTCTCTCTCCCCTTCCCTTCCTTCACCTGGCCAGCTCTCACTCTTCCTTGAAGACCAACTCAGATATCACCACACTGGATTTGGGACCCTCCTGTGTGCACACCTGGATCCAGTCACTGGATCCCGGTGACTGCAGGGCCACAGAGACTCAGAGAAGTGCTAGACTAGGAGTCAGGGCGCCTGGGTCGGGGCTTTGCTGCCTGACTGGAAGTTGCGTCCTCTATCAGTTGGGCATAGTGCACAGTGGTGTTTGCACTTCCCTCCCCAGGATGGGACAAGCAGTAGATGAAAGAGTTTGCAGTGTGTATGCAAAGGGGAGGGGCGAGTCTTTCTGTGGACAGCCTGAGAATAAGGACAGAGAGCTGGGCCAGCTGGCCTTCCCATGGGTCCTGTCTCACCTCCGTCAGGAGGCAGTGGTGAGACACCCATGCTGTTGTCTTGGATCCTTGTCCACTGGTGATGTCAGCTCCCCAAGCGAACATCAGAAATACTTGCAACCAAGCAAAGCTAAGGTTATCTGACCTCCTGCAGTAAGGGAGAACCTGCACTGGCAGAATCTTAGTAGGGTCTGAAAATGGAGGAATTAGGGAAGGGTACTTAGAGGATTTCAGGGTCCAGGCTTGGTGATTTGAAGGTGGGTCTTGCAAAGCCATTTTAGCTTTGGATTGGTGAGCCCAGCAAGGGAACAGTCTTGAAGTGAGTCTGGATGAGCAAGCTGTTAATCTTGTTAAGTTGTCTAATGGATTCACAGTCTTTTCTCCCAGGAGCAGGTATTTTCTGCAGCAAGCAGTGAAGTTATTTTTACTCGGTCTCAGTCTGGTTTAACATAGTAACAGGAAAGCTGGCCTGGTCCCAGAATTGTTTAACACAGGGATGGGGAATTATGTTAGTTTCATTCTTACTGGCAATCCTATGAAACTGAATTCTGGGAGAACAGAAACTGAGACACAATCTTTCTGCAAACCCTCATGCATTAGCAAAGTGCCTGGCAGACACTGTCAGCACACAGCAAATGTTTCTTGAACCTGTGTATGCATGAATATCCTCTTGCACCCGTCAGTGGTCCTGGGAAGCCTCTGAACAGCACTGTGCTTGGGAAAAGCAACAACAGAGAACGTATCCAACAAGATGCTGCCTAGACCCCTGCTGCTCCCAGTGTGTCCTGTGACCAGCCTCAGTGTTCCCTGGGAGCCTGTGAGAAGTGTAGACTCTCAGGCCCCACCCCAGACTCTGTATTAGCAAGCAGCCCAGTGATGTGCATCAGTATCCAAGAAGAACTTTAAGTGTCTGGCCCGCACAGCAGTGGGAGGCATCAAAGGTTTCAAACGTGCAGCAGAGACTAACAGAACGCTTCCTATGAGCCAGGCGTGTGTAGAGCCCTGTAGGTACCACCATGAGGCCGCCAGGATTTCAGCTCTGCAGGGAGACAGGCACATAAACACACAACTCAAGGACCGTGAGTGTAGGAAATGTACTTTTTCCTTCTTTGTATAGGAGAGAGATTTCTGTGCATGAACCCAGATACAGCAGGTGTGTCTGCGTGTGTGTGTGTGTCTGTGTGTGTGTGTGTGTCTGTGTGTGTGTGTGTGTGTGTAGAGTCTGCTTTTTCCTGCAGAACATTAAGCCTCTGATTGACTGCACCTGGCAGAAACAATAACCACAGCCACCCATTTCCTGTCCTTTTCTGCGGGCAGATCCTGACAGCGAGCGGCGATGGCACGTGTGCCCTGTGGGACGTGGAGAGCGGGCAGCTACTGCAGAGCTTCCACGGACATGGGGCTGACGTCCTCTGCTTGGACCTGGCCCCCTCAGAAACTGGAAACACCTTCGTGTCTGGGGTAAAGACCCAACGGAAACTCCCTAGGGCTCCTGTGTCCACTAAGGAGGCTTATGGTGGCAGTTCTTGTCCATTCATGGGATTAGCCTAGGCACTTCCCTAGAAGGGACTGCAGGAATTGTCCTCAACTCCCCACTAAACCCCCAGCTCCTGCAGTGACCGCACTGGCTCCAGGCCCCTCTTGGGGGCTTGGTGGGCAGCCACAGGGCTGAGCTGTGAGGGCCTCCTTCTGTTCTGCCACTGATGTTAGCAGTCTACAGAGTAATCTGGAATGTTCTCCTGTATGAGTGCTGCAACTCAAGGTGTATATCTGCCACATTTTAAAATGTCATTCCTCAAATAAATAGCAGAGACTTAGCATCTGAGAGCATCAGAGATGCGCACAAGGGCATGGCAGGTCAGATGGCTACTGAGCTGAGGCAACGCTGTGATGCCGCCAGGGCCTTGGGGCCTGTGGGGCACTCTCCCACCCCACCCCTGCCAGCCACCATCCTCCCTCCCATCACAGGGTGCAAGAAACAGAGGCTTTGAAAGCTCAGAGTTGGCACACAGGGCCACAGAGACTCAGAGAAGCGCTAGACTAGGAGTCAGGGCGCCTGGGTCGGGGCTTTGCTGCCTGACTGGAAGTTGCGTCCTCTATCAGTTGGGCATAGTGCACAGTGGTGTTTGCACTTCCCTCCCCAGGATGGGGCAAGCAGTAGATGAAAGAGTTTGCAGTGTGTATGCAAAGGGGAGGGGCGAGTCTTTCTGTGGACAGCCTGAGAATAGGGACAGAGAGCTGGGCCAGCTGACCTTCCCACGGGTCCTGTCTCACCTCCGTCAGGAGGCAGTGGTGAGACAGGACAGTGACGCACATACTGTCAGCTGACTTCTGCAGCTGGGACACCTAAGGGACCTTTGCTCCAGGCTGCCCACACATCGATCCTAGGAGCCAGGCAAGGGCTGTATGAGCTGTAGTCAGCAGGGACCCTGATTTTCTTCCTGGGTATTCGGCCATGTGTAGATGTTTCACCCCTGTGCCTTGGTATCCCTGTGTTTATCTCTCCTCGACTCTACTATGTTTTTTAAAAATTACTGCTATTACTGGAGATCATATTGTCTCATCCAGAGCACTAAACTGCATCCAATTTCTTGTCCTCTAAAGACGTGAAGGCCTTTCTGGTTTCTTTGCCCACATTTTCAGTAAAGACACTTGGGCCACGGGCCTTCCTCAGATGTGTGATGGTGCTTCATTACACACCTCCCTCTGCTCCAAGTTGAAACCAATAACTTGGACACCAATTTTAAGCTGTTACTTTTTGACTGTTTAAGCTGTTTGACCATTTAAGCTATTTGACTATTGAGAGTCCACATTCTACTTCTTGAGCTTGATACCATGACCACTCTGCAGGAACTTATCAAACTGCTCCCAGAGCCTTGACAGGATAATGGGAAAACCCTCACGTCTGTGACCCTCTGGGTCATGTTAGCAACCTGAAGACAGCATTGACTTTACAGGTGTTGAGGCAGACATCCGGGGAGGTGACTTGCCTAAGCCACCCGGCGCGTCAATGGCAGCACCCTGATGGGCCTCTGGTTTGAGGATTCCCAGCCCGGCATGCTGCTGAGGGTGCAGATGGCCCGGGGTGCCTGGCTCTCCAGCTTTGCTGAGGGCTGCTCCATACACCGAAACAAAGCTGGGACTCTCAGCTGCTCCATTTGGGCACTGCCAACCCATTAATGTCACAGCTAGAGAGGGCCCACCACGCACCACTGCCTGCCTGCCCTGCCCTCTGGGCTTAGGGAGGCAAGTATAAAGAGAAGAGAGAAAAGAGGGAAAACGAAGGGAAGGGAGATGCCCGGGGGAGGGTAAGAAGGGTTTGCCTCCATTCAGAAATGCTCAAAAGAAGAAAACAAGCTAAAAGAGGAAGCTGAGTGCCTTGCCTCCTGCCTCCCATCCCAAGACCTAGTTCTAGGCTGCTAAGGGCTTTCTGACTGAGGAGACTGCCCTCAGGTAAAGCTAGTCTCAGAAAAGTGTGTTGTCAACCATTTGCTAATGGGAAATAAATGGTCTCTGTTATGTAACTGGGACTCGTGCCTTGTCTATAGACATTCCTTGAAGTGGCCATAACTCTGGGTAATTTTGCATTTGTAGGGATGTGACAAGAAAGCCATGGTGTGGGACATGCGCTCCGGTCAGTGCGTGCAGGCCTTTGAAACACATGAATCTGACATCAACAGCGTCCGGTCAGTGAGTAGAATGTTCATGCCACCTCTCTGTTCTGCCGGCATTGCCTGGCTTGGGTAATCCTTAGCCAAGGAACCGCCTCCAGATCAGTTTACTTGGCTGAGAGAGGCCTCCCCAGGAAGAAAGGCTGATTGTGGTGGAACTGAACAGTGCTTCAGAACTCATGGAGAATTTTAATTTAATTGCATTAGGAGCAATTAATATCCTCCCTAGGTTGAATCAGCATTTTTCATCCATTCATTCAATAAATATTTACTGAGTATTTCTATGCTAGATATTATTCTAGAAACTGGGAATAGACTAGTGAACAAGATAGACAAGGTCTCTACTCTCTTACAGGAGACAAAGTAGACCAAACACAAATATACAATTTCAGATACTGATAACTACTATGGTAAAAGTAAAATAGGGAGATGGGATGGGTCATTTCTTAGAGGTCAAAGACAGCCTTACTGAGAAGGTGACATTTACATTGAGGCCAGGATGATGAAAGAGCCAGGCACGCAAAGAGCTGGGGGAAAAGCACAGAGATGAGAGGTTAAGGGACCTAAAAAAAGGCCAGGTGGTCACTGGAGAGTTTTGAGTTGGGAGGGGTAGGGGTGGCTAACCTGATCATAAAAGATCTCTCTGTTGGGAAGCCGAGGCGGGCAGATTGCTTGAGCCAGGAGTTTGAGACCAGCCTAGGCAACATGGTGCAACCCTGTCTCTACCAAAAAAAAAAATACAAAAATTTAGCTGGGCATGGTGATGTGCGGAGGAGGCTAAGGTGGGAGGATCGATTGAACCCAGGAGATTGAGGCTACAGTGAGTCGAGATAGTGCCACTGCACTCCAGCCCAGGCAACAGAGTGAGACCGTGTCTCAAAAAGAAAAAACCCAAACAAACCAAACAGATCACTGGCTATATGGAGAAGACATTGTAGGGAACAAGAATGGAAAAATGACGACCAGTTAGAGGTGGTTGTGTGAGTTCAACAAAGAAACGATGGTGACTGGAACTAAGGAAGACATGGTGGAGATAGAAATGTCAAGAATTACGAAATGTCTGAGATTTTGTCTACCTACATGTTAACAAGTTGGGCTGCCATAGCTCATGGATGCTGGTAGAAGACACGAGACTCCTGGGTCAGAGATGAAAGACAGTTTATTACTGATAGTAATGGCAATAGCCAGGATATCAGCTTGTTTGTGCTGGTATTTGAGCCCCAGTTCCATAGGGAGACATGAAAAGGGCCAAATGACACTGGCAGATGCAAGGGATGCACTCTAGAAGAACCCTGAGCTTAGGGAACCCACGTCTTTTATCGAGGGCAGTAAGCAGCAGTCCATGTGCTAAGACAGGGAAGACTGGAAGGATAGGGGGAAGAGGTGGGTTTTGCACATGGATTGGGGAGCTCTCTTTGAGGCTGGTTAGGTTTGAGATGCCTATTAAACATTCAAGATGTCAAGTAAGTAGCAGGATCCATGAATTAGATCCTAAGAGAGAGGTCAGGACTTGCCATGTATGAAAGATGGTACTGTTGAGACAGTTTATAAAGTATTTTCATTATACTCAGAACTCCCAAGAATCTTCATTATACTTAGTGGGAAAACACGAGAATTGTTTCTCTTAAAAACAAGAACAAAAAACAATACGTACTTACTTTAGTACTCCTTGGCCCTCAAATGTGGGATAAGGAAAAAAGCAAAAAGACTCTCACTTATTGTAAATATGCAGTAATTACCTAGAAAATCAAAAGAAATCAATCTGAAAATCACTACAGATAGTAAATGAAGTTAGTAAAATGCAAGATAGAAGATAAAGCCACAAAAATAAGCCCCTAGGTATTAATAAAGTATAGTCATTCCTTGGTATCTGTGGGAGATTGGTTCCAGGACCTCCCTCAGATACCAAAATCCTACATAAAACTATGTAGTATTTTCTCAGGGTATGCTGAAGTTATAAAAATAAATAAATAATAAAATTAAAGTGGTATAGTATTTGCATATAGCCTATGCACATCCTCCCATGTACTTTAAATCATCTCTCAATTACTTATAATATCTAATAAATGTATATGCAATGTAAATAGTTGTTAGACTGTATTGTTTGGAGAATGATGACAAGAAAAAAGGTTCAGTACAGATGCAACAATCCTTTTCTTTTTTAGAATATTTCTAATCTGCAGTTGATTTTATCCATGAGTGTAGAACCCATGGCTATGGAGGGCCAATGTACAGCTTTAAAATGCACACACTCAGCTGGGCGCTGTGGCTTATGCCTGTAATCTCAGCATTTTGGGAGGCCAAGGTGGGCAGATCACTTGAGGTCAGGAGTTGGAGACTAGCCTGGCCAACATGGTAAAACCCCGTCTCTACTAAAAATACAAAAATTAGCCAAACATGGTGGCACATGGCTGTAATACCAGCTACTTGGGAGGCTAAGGCATGAGAATCGCTTGAACTCAGGAGGCAGAAGTTGCAGTGAGCCGAGATCACGCCACTGCACTCCAGCCTGGTCGATAGAGTGAGACTCTTTCTCCAAAATAATAATAATAAAAAAATAAAATGCACACTGTCTCACCTGAGCTGTTTCATCTCCCCTGAGCCCTCTGCCTCTAACCTCCTTTGACCATCAGTTTTCAACTTAAGCTTCCCTCTGTCCAGGAAGCCCCCCTGGTTTCCAGGGCTGACTTAGGTGCCCTCCTGTGTGAGGGGGACCACACTGCATGGCCAGTTTACTCATCGATCTCCTCCTGCACTGAGGAAGTCAGAGAGAGAGAGAGAGAAAATCTTGCTTTTTAAAATATTTGAAGTAACCAAACTTTTTAAACTATTTATGAATTCTTAATGGGAGAAATAAAAGAAGATGTTGATAAATGGAGACATAAACCCAATTATTGATAGAGAACACTATAACTTAAAAATTTAAATGGCCATTTTTCTATATAGAGTGAATGCAGTTTCAATTAAGTTAGTTTATGGAACGGTGTAAATTGATGCTGAGACTCATCTTACGGATGCTACAGGGACTGATTCAGTGGGCCATGTTCAGGGTACCTTTTGATTTTCTTCCAGGGCAAACACTGGCTACCATGTCTACCCAAGGCTGAGGTTATACTGAGCATTGTCATTGTTCTCTTGGCATGCCCTTTGTAGTACACTGGATTAGTTAGGACATGGGCTTGTATGAGAGAAGCCCAAATAACAGTGACTTAAACCAGATGGAAGTTTTTTCTCACCTTAAAATCTGAGCTGCTATGACAGCTCATTCTGTCTTCGCAACCCACTCCCTAGGATGGTGCTCCCTCTCCTGCCCCCACTGGCCTACCACCATGCCTTCTTTCCAGCTGGCTGGTAGAGGAGAGTTGCGCTTATCGCTTCTGTCTGCATCCCATGAGCCAGAACATGATCATATGGCCACATCTGGCTACAGGAAGACTAGAAACAGTTTTCATTCTGCCGTGTGCCCAGGAAAAACAAAACAAACCAGTGTTTTTCAGTGGGGTTCACTATTAGCATTTTGGGAAGGACATTTCATTGTAAGGGAATGTTCCATGTAAGACATTTACCATCCGTGTGGCCCAGCCACTGAATTCCAGTAGCACCCCCTGGGTTTGGTGCCATTCAAAAAAATCCTGCTTTTATTTAACCATAGCTATAGGAGAGAGAGAGGGGACACTGGGGGCACAAAAAGTCTCTTCCAGATAATCTACGTATTACCTGGAAGATAATACACTTGGTCCCTGAACTTCCCACCAGCAGAAGGAAATCATAGCCCATGTGGCCCCAAATGGTATTTAATCTAGAAATCATTTTGACATTGGAATATGGATGCGTCAGATACTCCATGAATTCATAATGCTTTCAAAAACATAATGTGCCCACACCGTGATGGACTGACTGGGGCAGAGCTGAAAATGGTTAACATTTCTCATCCAGCTTTTCTCTTCTCCATCCCCGTCTTTCAGGCCAGTGTAAGTTAGTCACACAAAGTCAAGCTTCCCTCTCGTTTGCCAAATGTTTTGACTCTCCCCTCCCGCGGGTAGGAGGAATAACTTTAGCTGTTTTAAAGGGCTGCTCCTCCTCTGGCTTTTGTGGAGCTATAGGGTAGTCACTGGCACAAGAAAGAAGAAACAAGCCTGGTGTGGTAGCTCACACCTGTAATCCCAACACTTTGGGAGGCCTAGGAGGGTGGATCACTTGAGGTCAGGAGTTCGAGACCAGCCTGACCAACATGGTGAAACCCCATCTCTACTAAAAATACAAAAATTAGCCAGGCATAGAGGCATGTGCCTGTAATCCCAGATACTTGGGAGGCTGCGACATGAGAATCGCTTGAACCTGGGAGGTGGAGGTTTGTAGTGAGCCGAGTTCAGGCCATTGTACTCCAGGCTGGGTGAGAGAATGAGACTCAGTCTCAAAAAAACAAAAAAAGAAACAATGGAAGGTGTGGGGAACACAGCCGGGTGAGGCAGAGCGGAGGGGTTTAAAGACATTTGCTCTCATTCTGCCTCTGGATTATAATTTAGGACCCATATTTCTCACTAATCATTGAAAAGAGAATGACTATAGCAGTAATAATCGTCATTCATGGAATGTGTTTTAATTGGCACCATGCCAGATTCTTTGCATGGACTGTCTTATGTAAACTTCACAGCAGAAAATATGCATTATTACTCTCACTTTTCAGATGAGGAAACTGAGACTGGGCAAGAGGAAGTCATTTGCCAAAAGTATCGCAGGTAGTAAATGGTCAGTGCAGACATCCAATGTGGCTTTGTGCATCTGATTCCGTGTCTGTGCTCATAACCCCTTTCTTATCCCTGAGCTCTGGGCCAAGTCTTAGGAATTAGATATGTGATTGAGGGAAACTATATTTACAGGGGGTCTGCTCTGTGTTCTGTGCCTGATATCAACACACATTATCTCACTCTACAAGGCCAGCGTCATTGTCCCCCAGTAACAGGGAAGAAAACTAGAAGTCAGTGGGCCTGACATATAAGCTTCCTCTTCCGTCTTCTGCTGCAAATATTCCTTAAGTCCCTAGAAGTAGAGATTCTGATTCCAAGGGCATAGCATGGTTCTGATGGGCATCCAGGGTCGGGAATCACCACCCTAGATAAAGTACTTTCTCTCTGCAGGTACTACCCCAGTGGAGATGCCTTTGCTTCAGGGTCAGATGATGCTACGGTATGTTTCTAAGTTATTGAGAGCTTTTCCTATTCAATAGAGGGATCTGCTAACTTATTTTTAGAAAATAACTATTTTTCTGGTTACAGAAGTAATGAGTACTCAATGAAGAAAATTTGGGGGAATATTAAATTACCTTGATCTCCTTACCCAAGAAAAATCATAGTTGGATGAATTCCTTTCTGACTTTTTTTCTTTTTGACAAACAAAATGCTTTGTAATTTGGCATTTTCACTTAACAGAATGTGAACATTTTCCCAGGCCGATAAATATTTCTCTCCATTATATTTTCTTAATGATTGAGTTGTATTCCATGTTATGAACGTGACATTCGTCTTGAATTTTTGGCTCTTATCAAGGTTTTTTTTTTTTCTGTTAAAAACACTGCTATTAGTGTTTTTGTACCTTGCTTATCATTTCCTTAGCATTCTCAGACATAACTTGCTGAGCCATAAATAGACCCAGTTTTAAGGCTTTTGATACTGATTGCCAAATTATTTTCAAGAGAAAAAATATTTTCTTGTTGCCCACAAAATATCAAACACCTTATGAAATAATGGTTTTAATTCTAATTTTCTGCTAAAGAAATTACAAAAGAATAGATTGAGAGTTTTGAAATAATGAAAATGTAAAACTTCTGTATGTCAAAGCTATATAACAATATAAGGGAATACATCATGGAAACTTCTTGCCACGTACAGTACAGGCCAAGTTGAAATCCTGTAGATATGAATAGGGTTACATAAGCAATAAAACAAACACTCCAATTAAAGAAGAGGGTAAAATGCAGGTCATTTACAAAGCAGTAAATCCAAAATGGCAAGTAAACACCTGAAAATGTTTTCAAAGTCACCCATAATCAAAGAAATGTATGTTTTAAGTTTTCAGTGGTCGGATGCCCATTTTGCCACTTGGATTAGCAAAGAAATGCTCAGAGGTTGGGTTGGTGGGGAGCCTGGAACAAGCCTGGGGTCAGGATAGTTGGCACCACCCTGCTAGAGGGCAGATAAGAATCAAGAGCTTGAAAACATCTCTACTTGGCCAGGCATGGTGGCTCATGCCTGTAATCCCAGCACTGTGGGAGGCCAAGGTAGGTGGATCACCTGAGGTCAGGAGTTGAAGACCAGCCTGGCCAATGTGGTGAAACCCCATCTCTACTAAATGAGACTAAAAATACAAAAATTAGCCAGGCGAGGTGGCGGGCACCTGTAATCCCTACTACTCTGGAGGCTGAGGCAGGAGAATCATTTGAACCCGGGGAGGCAGAGGTTGCAGTGAGCCAAGATTGCGCCATTGCACTCCAGCCTGGGTGACAAGCGAAATTCCATTTCAAAATAAAATAAAATATAAAATAAAACATCTCTACTTCTGATCTGGTCATGCTATTTCCTGATAACTCTTCTAAGGATTCTATTTCTTACCTCGTCTAAGGAAAATATCAGAAACACATATAAAGATTTTAATGTAAGAATAGTCATCATAATATTATTTATAAAAGAGAAAAATTAAACACAACCGAAACAACAGGATTTGGCTAAATAGATTGTGATATATTCAGTAACCATATATATAACATTTTTTGAAGTTTTCTTTTAATGATATGAGAAAGTAGGTATAACCTGATGTTAATAGAAGCAATAATGAAACATCCAGCCCATTCAGATACACACATAAAATAGAAATAGGACTGAAGGAAACAGCTCAAAATTAGTAAATACCTCTAGGATTTAGGGTGACCCTCATTAACTTCTGTATACATTTCTGAATATTTCAAAATTTTCTACAATGAACATGTGTCCTTTATCAGAAAAAAAAAAAAAACCTGGGGCCTCCTTTTGTTTTTATATCTGAAGAAATTTGCTATATTTGTCATTTCTTTACTGACTCATAGAGATTAATAGGAATCGGGACTCTTTACGGACTAATAGAAATTAATAGGAGTCGGGACTAAAGGATGAAATAACAGTAGGAAAAACTAAGAAGTTTTTCCTTCATCCTTTAAACTGCACAAGTCACTAGCACCTACCTGTAGTTCTGTGGTCATCACATCACCAAACTGAAGCCAGAAGTAAGTGCTGCTTTATTTATTTGCCCCCCAGTGTCGCCTCTATGACCTGCGGGCAGACAGGGAGGTCGCCATCTATTCCAAAGAGAGTATCATATTTGGAGCATCCAGCGTGGACTTCTCCCTCAGTGGTAAGGTTTTATTTCAGAAGCTTTTCCCGGGACTGTAAGACAGGACCGGAATGAAACTAGCGCTCCACCATCACTCAGTTCCTTTTCATTAACCGAGCTTCCTGTGGACCAGTATGCGAAATCATCCACATTTGCACCAGTTTTCCTCCTCTGAGCTTCTGACCTCCCACTTTGCCCTGCTCCAGGCAATTTCCCCTAGCCCCATTCACTCCAGGGGGAGATGAAGGCTGTGTACTCACCTAATGCTGTCCTTCAAGGCAGTGAAGTGTCAGAAATTCACTTCTGCAATGCTCTCAGGCATTTTCTCCCCAGTCTTTGCTTCTCTTCATGCCCCAAAGGGAACTTTTGTCCAAGGTGGAGGTTAAGCAAGAGTCCCTTCTTGACCAGGCACTGTGACTCACGCCTGTAATCCCAGCACGTTGGGAGGCCAAAGCAGGCGATCACTTGAGGTCAGGAGTTCGAAACCAGCCTGACCAACATGGTGCAACCTTGTCTCTACTAAAAATACAAAAATTGGTTGGGCATGGTGGTGCATGCCTGTAATCCCAGCTACTCGGGAGGCTGAGGCAGGAGAATCGCTTGAACCTGGGAAATGGAGCTTGCAGTGAGCTGAGATTGTGCCACTGCACTCCACCCTGGGCAGCAGAGTGAGACTCCGACTCAAAGGGAAAAAATAAAATGAGTCCCTTCTCAGTGCCCTGAAGCTCATGGCTCCTTGGTGGGAAGTTGCTAGTGAAAAAGCATAGCTCCAGAAAGATCATGTCAAAGAAAGAAAGCAAAATAGAAAGTTAAAGCAGAGGTAACAGGCTGGCTACCTGGACCACTCGATTTCCCCAGACACATCCCTAGACTATCTGCACATGAAGTTCCTGCTACTGCCTGGAACATCTTTTCCCTGCCTTCTCTGCATGACAGACTCCTATTCAACCCTCAAGAGCCAACTCAAATGTCACTTTAACTTTCTCTCTTTAAACAAGTTTTACAAGTTGTTAACTAGCAAATGACTAGAAATAATTTTTTTGTGTCTGCAGTGTCCCCCTTGATCCCCCTTCCTCTCTGGTCCCATAGCACTTTACATGTGTAAAGCACTTGCATTATGGCTGTTACCATGGGATGCTACAGTGATCTGTTCCTCTCGGCCCCACATCCTCCACCAGGGGCCGTGACTGTGCTTTCTCCCCTTTAAATCCTCAAGGCAAAGCACAGTGTCTAGGACTCAGTGGGCCTGAATCACTGCTTACTGAATGAGTGAGTGAGTGACAGTCATGTAATGAGAAACAGGAAGCAAGGAAGTGGCTTAACAGCTATCATCTCACCCTGCTTCAAGGTCGCCTGCTGTTTGCTGGATACAATGATTACACTATCAACGTCTGGGATGTTCTCAAAGGGTCCCGGGTCTCCATCCTGTTTGGCCATGAAAACCGCGTTAGCACTCTACGAGTTTCGCCCGATGGGACTGCTTTCTGCTCAGGATCATGGGATCATACCCTCAGAGTAAGAGAGAGGGTTTTCTCTTTTCCTGGGTGTGAGAGGAGAGAGGAGGGGTGACAGGCCTTCTGAAGCAGAGGGAAGGCTTTCAGAGTAAGCTCGGGTGGGCCTGGTCAGCCTCGCCGAGCTCTCATTTCCACTCTGCCCACAGCCACAGGAGGAACTAGTTGCCTGGAGAGGTAGCGAGTGCCCCATCAATGCAGGTATTCTCCCACAGATTCGACAACTGCGTATCAGCCTGTAGGTGAGGGAATAGTTAGGCTTCATCATCCAGAAAGTTTCTTTTGACCCTAAAAGTCTGATTCTTGTGATTCTAGCCTTTGGCAAACCACAGATAACCAGTCTCTTCTCCTATAGTATAGGGTTCTTATTACAATTATTAACCGTGTGATGACGAGGGTCACAGATCCAAGAGGCTGTGAAGCCCCTGAAATTATTACTTTTATCTTTCTTTTTTTTTTTTTTTTTTTTTTTTTAGTTTTCCTATAGCTTAATTTTGGAAGTGAAGCCCCTGAAATTATATATGCCAAATTTGGGGTGTGTGCATTTTGTCCTCATGGCTTTCATTAAATTCTCAAAGATAGCTCCATAACCTTGTTGAGTGTTGGCTCCCCCAAAATACTACCAAAATAGCGTGTTTAAGCCGGGCGTGGTGGCTCACACCTGTAATTGTAGCACTTTGGGAGGCTGAGGTGGGCAGATCACTTGAGGTCAGGAGTTCCAGACCAGCCTGGGCAACATGGTGAAACCCCGTCTCTACTAAAAATACAAAAATCAGCCAGGCACGGTGGCATGCACCTGTAGTCCCAGCTACTCGGGAGGCTGAGGCAGGAGAATCGCTTGAACCCAGGAGGCAGAGGTTGCAGTGAGCCGAGATCATCCCACTGCACTCCAGCCTGGGCAACAGAGCAAGACTCTGTCTCAAAAAAAAAAAAAAAAGATGCCCATTCATAGAGCAAAGCTAAATTGATTGCTTACCTCAGTGTGGAACATCAAGAATTGGTAGAGGTGTAGTGGCATCTCAGAAGAGGAGGACAAAGGCATGCATGAGGTTTTTTTGGTCTGGTTTAAGGCAGGTTTTTGTTGGGGGCCACTTAATTAGGATTGGACAACTTTGTGGCATAATAGTTTTAGGATTGCTGGACATGGGTGGGGGAGGGTTTCGAACAAACCCTTTAAAAGTAAGTACTCATTCGATGCTCTATATTGTCCTGAGACGTGGGTGTATTTTCTAAATAGGGTAAGTTGAGTAGTCTAGTGTTAGGATAGAAAAAAGGATTTTTGCAAAATTCCTGAAGCGAATAAAAAAGTTATCTGTGAGTTCATCTTCCTGGGTAAGAGTGTCCTAAATGAGTAAAGTCCTGTTAATGTGTACGGTGAGCTGTATGGGTTCAAATGGTTTTGGTTGTCAATCTGTAAGAGTAACCAGACCCTAGTAAGGAGGCTGCAGATGCCCCACAAACAATTAACTAAGGGAGGAGGGGATTGGGTCCAAAGAAGCACCTTTGCGTTGCTAGGAGTACAGTGTTATCCTTCTAAGGCACAGGAGCCCCCTATTTTGGATGGGGGTGTGTGTATGTGTGTGTGTATGTGTGTATGTATGTGTGTATGTGTATGTGTGTGTGTGTACACACGCACATGTATGCCCATGCATGTGTGTGAATAGACTAATTTTATCTCTTTAAGCTCAAGTTTTATAAGTTGTTAACTACAAAGGTCTAAAATCTATCTGTTTGTGTCTTCACAGGTCTGGGCCTAATCATCTCACAATGCACTCATGTATACCTGAGAATTTGAAATCTTCACATGTAAATAGATATTACTTCTAGAGGAGCTTAGGGTTTACTGTGGTTTAGCTTAGGGGAGTAACCATGGCTCACAGGTCACTAAACGTCCCCAATATGACTATTAAAACTGTCACCTCTGGAAATACACTAGTGTGAGCCTTCAGCACTGCGAGAATACCTTCAAGTACAATACCTTCAAGTTCTTTTGGAACACTTTAAAATGTATCTGTTTTTAAGGTTATTCTAAATTATAGTAGCCTCAACTCATTCTGTCACCAGTAGAATTCAGCAGTTAATATAGTCCGTATTATTTCTTTGAGTCAATTCATTTTCAGAGCACTTTAAAGTCTGATATTTCTTGTGCACTGTGATGCCTGGAACCTTCGTCTGGAAGTGCTGGTTTTATGGACTGAGGACTGGTAACTGGTCTGGATAGAAGCAAATTCCAATTCCAAATGTAATCAGACAAAAATCACTTTTTTTAGAATGTTTTTATTGTAAAAGTATCTTCTTCAGCTTCCTGTTCTATTGTCTTTTTTCAGATAAAACATTTTTGTCTCTGGTGAACTGCTGTAAATGACACAGAGAAATGCCTCAAAAGGACAGGTGGTTTGACTGATGAATGATGATGATGTCACTGTGTCACTTGGACAGGGCGTTTTCTCTGAATTGAAAGGAAAGCCAGTGCTGTTTGTAAACAAACGCTTGTGAGAGCAAGCAAAACTCTGTGTGGGAACACAGAATAGTAAACTTATTTAAAAACCTATTAGTAGAATTAGTGGAAACACTTAGGTTAAAGTGGATCTTGTCCATATAAATTATATTCATATGTATTGCATTGCAATTATAATTACATATGCAAATTGATTGATAGTCATGAATAATAATGTCTGCTTCTCTTATACAGAAAGAAAAACAATATTAAAAGAAGATCTTCTCTTTATTTGAGACTCAGAATTCCTTCTGGAAGAAGGAAGTACTTTTTGTTATAGGATCCCTTCTTTTCCTTTTTTGGTTTTTTTGTAAGATGTAGATGCTTAGTCTTTGCTTTAGAAAACTTCTTATTTAAAAACATGGCACGCATTATTATCTAGGGGAATAAAAGGTCACCTCAGACAACAGATGTCATTCCTGGTGAGGCCTGCCCTGTGGCCTCGTGGGTGGCCTGGGGTCTGCCGGCAGGTTCTGGCTGCGCCTGAAAGCTGCGGGCACCCTGTCCCTTGGACTGTCGGGTCTCCTCTCCTGGTCTTGCTCCAGCCCAGCCCTTCTTCTGGTGGTAGCTCTGGCTTTGCAAGCCCAGCTCCAGGCCCTGCTCCTCAGAGAGACTGTTCCATAGCTTGAGCTGGGCACAGCCATAGGACAGGCCTGGAGCAGATGCTCCAGGGGTGGGCCAGGCCCACCCTCACAACTGCTTGTTCAGGTATCGTGATGGGCCACTCGATCCAAAATCAGCCTGGCCAGCTTTTCCATCATCTCACTTCAAATAAACATAATAATTTGATCATTTGCAGAGCAGTTACTGGTGGTTTTACTGCACACCGGGGTCTGGGGTAGAGAGAGAAAAATAAAAGGCCTCTGCCTGCCTCCAATGAGCCCAGAGAGAGTGCTTTTAAGTCCCAGTAGATTCCAGTCTGGGCAGGGGCTCAGGAAATGGGCCCAGTGTCTGGCCAGCTCCTGCCAGCTGCTGAAGGGGTCAGGGACACCATGGGATTCCTGAGCTCTGCTCCAGAATGTCCCATAGTGGCCTCTGGTGCAGCTGGCCACCTTGTGGTGGCATGCCCCGCCGTCTGTCCCACAGCCTTTTTTTTTTTTTTTTTGGCTCTGCAGTGTGCCTTCCGGCTCCCAGAAGTGAAGGCAGGCACGGGAAAGGAAGGAAAGATGGCCCAGGGGAAGCACATTCCGGGTTCTATGTTTGGAGGGGTGGAGAGCATCTTCAGGATATGTGCAAAGTAGACTGTGATTTTCCAATCCAAAAGCCACTCTACAGGCCCAGGGAAAGTATTGCAGAGAATGCTTCTACTCCCCACATGGGCAGGAAGCCCCCTCCGCTGTGAGCTTGCGCTCTCACGGGGGGCGCTGCCGGGATTTGGACTATGTGACAGCATGTGGAGACTCAGGGGTAAGCTCCATGGAATAGGTTGTGTTTTGCAGATCGAAAATAATGCTGAGTGTATTTTATAATCAGCTTTTCCTTTTTCCAGAGGACTTGGGGATAAAGCTACCAAACCAATGGAGGGGAAGGGGCCAAACAGATGGGCCCCTAGAGGTGTAGAGGCTTAGGCAACCCCCTCCCGGGCCAGAAAAAACGAAAGTTCAGGCAGAAAGGTGTGGGTGATGGGTATTTGTGGGAAGTACCTGTGACATGAAGCCAAGTCCAGTGCTTTAGAATGCGTGGTCAGCCTCTCACCGGCGGAGTCCTGGCAGCCGTCCCTGTTCTCCCAGGCGAGCCAGAGGCGGGCATCCCATTGCCACTGCCCTCTTCCTGCCCTTCTGCCTCCTTCGCACCCCTCTCTAGATTATAAGTGGTTTAAAACAGCACAAGGTTATAAGGGCCTTTGTGTCCCGGGTTCTTGTAGCTGCCAGGCCAGCTGGCTGAAAGGTGGCACCCCTGATACTGAGACTCCTCTGTGAGTTAGAGGGACGCCATGGTGACAAAGGACCCTGGTTCACACCCAGCTCTGACACGTTCACAGAATATGTGATTATATCTGAGTTTCTCTCAGCCTCAGTTTCCCCATCTATAACATGGGATGGCACTAAAATATGTGACATGCATACCTCATTCTTTAGCACATCTTCAGGAAGGGTTAGTTCCCAGCTTCCTCCCTGTGTCCTCCTTATTCCCCTTCCTGTTTGCCCCCTTCCCTTCTCCCTCCACCTATCTTCCCTCTTCCTCTTCCCTTTCCCTCCTCCTTCCTCTCTCCTCCCTCTCATCTCCTCCCCCTCCCTCCTCTCTCCTCCTCCCCCCATCTCCTCCTCCTCCCCTCCCATCTCCTCCTCCTCCCTCCATCCCATCTCCCCCTCCCTCCTTCCCATCTCCTCCTTCCTCCTTCCCATCTCCTCCTCCTTCCCTCCCATCTCCTCCTCCCTCCTTCCCATCTCCTCCTCCTCCCTCCTTCCCATCTCCCCCTCCCTCCTTCCCATCTCCTCTTCCCTCCTTCCCATCTCCTCCTCCTTCCTTCCCATCTCCTCCTCCTTCCTTCCCATCTCCTCCTCCCTCCTTCCCATCTCCTCCTCCTCCCTCCCATCTCTCCTTCCTCTTTGCCATCTCCTCCCTCCCATCTCCTCCTCCCCCTCCCATCTATTCCTCCCTCCCATCTCCTCCTCCCTCCCATCTCTTCCTCCCTCCCTCCCATCTCCTTGTCCCTCCCATCTCTCCTCCTTCCCTCCCATCTCCTCCTCCTCCCTCACATCTCCTCCTCCCACCCATCTCCTCCTCCCACCCTCCCATCTCCTCCTCCCTCCTTCCCATGGCCTCCTCCCTCCTTCTTATCTCCTCCTCCCTCCCTCCCATCTCCTCCTCTCTCCTTCCCATCTCCTCCTCTTTCCTCTCCTCTGCCCCCTCCCCCTCTCCTCCTCATTCATCCAGACTCCCTCCCTCCCATCGCCTCCCTCTCATCTCCTCCCTTCCTGCCATCTCCTCCCTCTCATCTCCTCCCTTCCTCCCATCTCCTCCCTCTCATCTCCTCCTCCCTTCCTCCCATCACCTCCTCCTCCCTCCCTCTCATCGCCTCCTCCCTCCCTCCCATCTCCTCCTCCCTCCCATCTCCTCCCTCCCATCTCTCCTCCCTCCCATCTCCTCCTCTCTTCCATCTCCTCCTCCCACCCTCCCAACTCCTCCTCCCTCCTTTCCATCTCTTCCTTCCTCCCTCCCAGCACTTCCTCCCTCCCTCCCAATGCCTCCTCCATCCCTCCTCTCTCCTTCCCAACTCCTCCTCTTTCCTCTCCTCTGCCCCCTCCTCCTCTCCTTCTCATTCATCCAGACTCCTTTTTCTAACCCTTCTCAATCTTCCTCCTTTCCTCATCTCCTCTTCCTGTTCCACCTCTCTCCTGGTCTCCTTCCTTCCCCTTCTGCCCTTTCTCCCTCCTCCTCTCTCCCCATTCCCCTTCCCCCAGCTCTTTCTTTTCTCCCCATCTCCTCCCCCTCCATAGGGAGCCCCCACTCATATAGCACATTAGTAATTCTCATCAATTAGAGCTTCATCTGGGTCAGTGGTTCTCAAACTTTTTGATCTTAGGATCCCTCTACACTGTTTTTATTTGTTTTGTTTTGTTTTGTTTTTTGTTTTTGTTTTTTTGAGACGGAGTTTTGCTCTTGTTGCCCAGGCTGGAGTGCAGTGGCACAATCTTGGGCTCACCTCAACCTCCGCCTCCCGGGTTCAAGCGATTCTTCTGCCTCAGCCTCCTGAGTAACTGGGATTACAGGCATGCGCCACCATGCCCAGCTAATTTTGTATTTTTAGTAGAGATGCGGTTTCTCCCTGTTGGTCAGGCTGGTCTCAAACTCCCAACCTCAGATGATCCACCTGCCTTGACCTCCCAAAGTGCTGGGATTACAGGTGTGAGCCACCACGCCCGGTCTACAGCCTTAAAAGTTATTGAGGACCCCAAATAACTTTGTGGATTGTATGTATCCACATTTATCATATTAGAAATTAAGACTGAGAAAAGTTATAAAACACAAGATTACAGATGCATACATTCCGTTAGCCATCAAGGTGATCTTTCACCCATGCCAGTAGTCTCTGGAAAACTCCTGAGAGAATGAAAATTTAAAAGTCACCAACACACACTCACAAAGAAAGTGTCAGTATTATGAAAATAGTTTTGACCTTGAGGACCCCCTTCCATCTCCTCCTCCCACCCTCCCAACTCCTCCTCCCTCCTTTCCATCTCTTCCTTCCTCCCTCCCATCACTTCCTCCCTCCCTCCCAATGCCTCCTCCATCCCTCCTCTCTCCTTCCCAACTCCTCCTCTTTCCTCTCCTCTGCCCCCTCCTCCTCTCCTTCGGAGAGCCACCCTAGGGAAAGCCTTCGGAGGAGGCTTTGGGGCAGCCCTGGTTGGTGGGGGAAGTCCCAGAGAGGCAGTCGGAAAGGCTCGGGACCAGCTGAGGCCTGTGACCCAAAAATCCTTTGAAAAGGGGATGCCTGGGAGCCTGGGAAAAGCACAGTGGGTGGGGTAGAAGACTGGTGCTAATTACCCTGGTCATTACACATTGTATACACTGAATGGGGATTTGTGGATCTTCATTTCCCAAACTTGCCTGCTGAGAAGAATCATCCCACCCATGGCAGGTTCATGCCCTGCGCCTTCAGGGCCCCGCCCTGAGATATGGACTGGGCGGGCCTGAGGTGGGCCAGGAAATCTGAGCCAAAGGCCCACTGGGGAGGCCATGAGTGAATCTTGTCTCTGTGGATCCTATGTGAGGATTGCGATGCTAAACCACTTGCCCTCCCATCGGTGACCGGAGAGAATTGGGTCACTCTTCTGGACATGCCACAGACTCCTGCTTCTAGACAGGACTCGGCTGGAGCCAGGCTGGCCTTCAGGGTTGGTCAGTCTCCACAGGGGACTCTGGCCTCCCGTGGGCTGCTGCAGGCCCAACCCCAGTGAAAGAAATGAAATGACTGAATGTGTTCGTGTCATTCAAAAAAGGATGCAGCAGGGGGTGGGGAGGAGCTGGTTAATGGAATCAAATTTGCCGCAAGATAGGAGTCTAGTGTTTGGCGGCACTGTGGGGTGACTATCGCTAACAATAATTTACTGTGTATTTTCAAGTAGCTAGAAGAATTTTGAATGTTCCTGTCAACCTAAATAACAAAGACAGGCTCTCTAAAAGAAAAGGATACTTAATCAAAAGTAGGGCATTGCAACAGGAATATGTGTGCTGTAGTAAACTGTGTGCATATTCCAGGAGGTAAAGAAAAACAAAGGTGGCCGGGCGGTGGCTCAAGCCTGTAATCCCAGCACTTTGGGAGGCTGAGCCAGGCGGATCACGAGGTCAGGAGATCGAGACCATCCTGGCTAACACGGTGAAACCCCGTCTCCTCCCTCCCAGCACTTCCTCCCTCCCTCCCAATTGGTGGCAGGCGCCTGTAGTCCCAGCTAAGAATGGCGTGAACCCAGGAGGTGGAGCTTGCAGTGAGCCGAGATGGCGCCACTGCACTCCAACCTGGGTGACAGAGCAAGACTCTGACTCGAAAAAGAAGAAAAAAAAAAAAAAAAGGTTTTTAAAGGAAAAAATGAGGAGGATGACATAATGGTTTTGAAAGAATTATCCTTGGCTACAAATATCAGTAACAAAGGTCACACCAGTCCGAGGTTGGACAGGCAGTTGCTAGGCAGATGTCCTTGCAGAAGTAATTTTGTGTGAGGTTGCGGCAGCCTATGTGCAAGGTTGTAATTTTTGCAGAATCTTTTGTGATCATTTTCGTATTAGGCATACAAGCATGAGAATCCTCTCTTCATGGCCTCCCCAGCTCTATTTGTCATGGTTTTTTTTTTTTTTAAAAACACCAGTAGCTCTTGAATTCTAACAACTTTCACATCTCCAACACAACGAAATGATAGATATTTAAGGGATTAATATGCTAATTACCCTGGTCATTATACATTGTATACATGTATCAAAATAACACTGTACCCCATAAGTATGTACAATTATGTGTCAATTAAAAATAATTATTTTTAAAAGTAGATGCAGAAAAAAAGATGCAGACACTCTAGTAAGGAGATGGGATCAGGAGTGACTCCATGGTTAATTTAACCCACATAAACAACTAATCGTAAGTATGGTATGAGCGTTTGTGTAAAGACTGTGACAGCAGGAAATGTCTGTCTTTGCCCCCAAGGTTATCTAACCAGCACACCAATGGTGAAAGATTAACTTTGTCAGAAACCAGGAACCATGAAGCAGAGGCCACCGTTTCCAACCTGTGTGTTTTCCACGATAATTGGCAGCCTCCCACTCCTAAGTTTATACCCAAGGGAAATTAAAACATATGTCCACACAGAAATTTGAATGCGAATGTTCATAGCAGCATTACTCATAATAGCCCAAAGTTGAAACAGCCCCAGTGTTCCACAGTGGATGAATTGATGAACAAAATACGGTGCATCCACACAGTGGAATACAAAGAAAGAAAGCGCAGACACATGCTACAACATGGATGAACCCTGAAAATATTGTGCCGGGGGAAGAAGCCAGAGACAAAGAGCCACATGTTGTAGGATTCCATGTATATGAAATGTCCTAATAAGCAAACTCACAAAGACAAAAAGCAGATTAGTGGTCACTCAGGGCTGGGGTGAGGAGTGACGGTGAGTGGGCACTGAGTTTCTTTCGGGGCAGCTGAATTAGATAGTGGTGGTGATTGCACAATTCTGTGAATAGACTAAAAACCACTGGATTCTAAGAGGGTGAATTTTATGGTACATTAATTACATCTCAATAAAGCTGTTACTTAAAATGTGGAAAAAATAATAAGCAGTCACTAGCTATTATCAATAAAACAGAAACTACATAGGTAAGACCAATATTGTCACATTTTGGTTTTGGTTGAGAATGGGGCAAGTGAGCATAGTCACCCTTGCCAGAGGATTTACCATTTACAGATGAAAGTTTCTCTGGAATGATGGCCTTTTACTATGTGCCAAGCACTTTGTGTATACCAATTCTGTGCTAAGCACTTTGTGCTAAGCACTTTGTGTATACCAATTCATGTTATCCTTGTGACAGCCCCATGATGCCCCATTTTTAGACGGGGAGACAGATTGAGGTTAGGAGGATTGAATAACTTGCCCATAGCTGCACTGCTTCCAAGTTGCAGAGACAGGATTTTCACCAAGTCTTATTACAAACTGTCTCATATTGTGTGAACTGGAAATTCTATGTTGAGGTTAATTTATTCATTTGTTGTTTAGTTGTATTCATCATTATTGAGTTACCAATGGCAGTGCCAGAGGATTTACCATTTACCCCAAAGCTACTGCAAATCTAAGAAAAAACAATGGTCTTACTGCTAAAGTATAATGTACAAAAAGGTAAAATCATGATTCTCTTGCAAATAAAACATGAACATGTATCCAAGCTTTTATTTAACTCACTGATTAATAAGGGAACCAGTAAGATGTCAAAACCAGTTCAAATGGGAATTTGATGTACAGAAATTTATATTCCAACAAAATTCATTTAGTTCACTGTAATGAATCATTTGCCTTAGCAGATTAGGCACTCAGCAGAAGCATCAGCCAGCTCAGCCTTGGAGGGAGAATTCCATGTTGTTCGACCCATACATATCCTCTGTCCCTGCTGCCAGGAGCTCTTCGTTCAGCCCATTGAGCAGACGCCACAGCATTGGCATAGAGAGGCTGGCTGACAGCCACAGAGCATGTGATTCTGTCCATCTGATTCAGTCTTCTCTGCAGTGGATGCCCTTTAGTGGGCATTCACGTGAGATGCAAATATCTTCAGTCTGTGCCCATTCAAAGGAATTCAGCCACATATCTCTTTCCAAGATTTTCATGTCACCAATCTTCCAGTCCTGTTCTTTTTAAGGCCCTGACCATCCAGCTAAACCATCAGCGACTGTCCGTGAATCAATGTAGGTCTGTATTCTGGCCATCTCTGGACAACCTTGAATTTCTGCCCACTGGAAGGATTCTCCTTCACCACTGTCCTTCACAGTCACCCGAGCGAGTGTGAGTGAATGCTGCAGCTGTTCTCTTTCATGTGGTACCAGCACGTCGTATAGACCCATCTATAATCCAGGCTGGAGGTTTTTCTCCCTCAGTCAACTGAACATAAGCAGCATCCCAAGAGGCCATAGCCGTGGAATAAGGGAGAGGAGGCAAAGTAAGTGGAGTTGATGTTGGAAGAGTCTGAGTGGCCTGCTCGTACAATTTACTTACACCTTCTGAACCCCCCTGGGCTGTTCCAATACACCATCTCCATTTGATGATAGATGGCTGCTGTATACATCCAGCTTTATGGCTACATGGGTCAGATGATATCCAGTTCTTGATGGGCGCTCAAGCTTCATGGTCAGGCATTCTGCCCCTACCAAGGCCCAGTAGCAAGGCAGAACCTGCTTCTCAAAAGGAGAGTAGTTATCTTCAGAAGAGGTTCTATATTTACTTTAGAATTCTAGAGGTCTGTCCTCTCTCCTGTTAGTGCTTGCCAGAGGCTCCATACAGCATCCCTATTGGACAATTAAAGTCCCACTGGATCTGTTGGATCACAAGACCCAAGTGGTAGGGCCACTTTACTGCAGCCTGAACCTTCTGCAGAGTCTTCTCTCATTCTGCTCCTCAATCCACCAGCCTAATTGGATTGAAATAGCACACTCACACACAGTATATGTTGCCTTCAAAGTCCAAAATGGCTTACTGTGTCCCCCAAAAATTCATATGTTGAAATCCTAACCCCCAGTGTGATGGTATTCAGAGACGGGGCCTTTGGGAGGTATTAGATCACAAAGGTGGAGCCCTCATGAATGAGATTACTGTCCTTATAAAAGAGACCCCAGAGAGCTCCTTCACACCTACTGCAACGTGAGGACACAGCAAGAAGCCTGCTATCTGTGAACAAGGAAGCAGGTCCTTACAAGACACAGAACCTGCCAGGGCCTCAATCTTGGACTTTTTAGCCATCAAAACTGTGAGAAAGAAATGCCTTTATTTATAAGCCTCCCAGTCTATGGCATTCTGCTATAGCAGCCTGGACAGAATAAGACAGCTATCAAGTGCTGTGCCTCTTTTGTAGTGATGCAAGATGCAGCAACTCATCTTTCACCCTGGGAGGGCTATTTCAACATGCTCCAGACCCCTGAACCCCCAGAAATATCACTGCTAGTATCCATTCTGCATCAGTTTGGATCCAATCAGGAGAAAGAAGCCATGGAGTCATATGAACTGAGAAAGTTTAATATAAATATTAGCTATATCAGGGGACTGGAGTAATTAGGGATTGGCCAATAAAAAGTAAAGAGAACTTCAAGCAGTATCAGAATGATAGTGTAAGAAACAGCTGCTGCCCTAGTACTGCATACTCCTTCAACTTCTAGTCAGAATTAAACTGTACAGGGACGGCCCTTTTGTTTGCCATCACTAAACTGTAGAGTCCTTGAGGTCAGGAACCACATGTCTTGTTCTCCATTGTATCTTCAGTGCTAAGGGGGGAGACCTAGCACCACAAAGGCTCTTACTAAATATGAATGAATACAGCCAATATTGGCCCTCTGGCAGCCCCCAAGATAATTCGCCCTTTTCCTGCCACATGTGCCGGATCCAAAGAAAGGAATCCCCAACACAGACCTGGGTGCTTTCCAATCTAGAGATGCAGATAATGCCCAAGGGAGCAGTCTGTGAGGGGCCATGGGTAGCCTTTGTCAAGCGCTCCTTAAGAGGAGGATGAAGCCCAGCCCAGCTTCCCAGACTGTCCCCTCAGGTTCTTAGTCCCCAGACCGGGAGCTAAATAACGCCAGAGTCTCCCAGTGCACCTGATTGCTACAGGAACACATGCGCACCGGCAGGCCTTGCCTTGGGGACTGTAACAGGTGCAGGTGGGATTCCCATCGAAGGCTGCTCTCTCAATCCTGAAAAACAAATACCTGGGGCTGGGGGCTGGGGGCCGGGGCGGGGCACTGCAGCCCTTCCCTGGGGGAGGCGCGGCCGGGCCAAGAAAACCAGCGAAGGCCCGGGGCGCCCAGCAGAGGCCGGACCATGGCTGACCCGTTGCGGGAGCGCACCGAGCGGCTCCTGGCCGACTATCTGGGGTGCTGCGCCCGGGAACCCGGCACCCCTGAGCCGAGGCCGTCCACGCCCGAGGCCGCCGTGCTGCGCTCAGCAGCCGCCAGGTTACGGCAGCTCCACCGGTCCTTCTTCTCCGCCTACCGCGGCTACCGCGGGAACCGCGTCGAGCTGGTGGCGCTGATGGCGGAGGCCGTGCTCTCCGACAGCCCCGGCCCCACCTGGGGCAGGGTGGTGTCGCTGGTGACCTTCGCGGGGACGCTGCTGGAGAGAGAGCCGCTGGTGACAGCCTGGTGGAAGAAGCGGGGCTTCCAGCCGCGGCTGAAGGAGCAGGAGGGCGACGTCGCCCGGGACTGCCAGCGCCTGGTGGCCTTGCTGAGCTCGCGGCTCGCGGGGCAGCACCGCGCCTGGCTTCAGGCTCAGGGCGGCTGGGTGAGCACGCGGCGGACACCGGGACGCGGGGCGGGACGGGCGTCCGGGAAGCGCCCACGAGGCTGGCACGATGAGGAACCCACTGCGCCAGCCCCCTGGAACCAGGTTTCTTGAAAGCAGAAAGGCTCGTTTCAGCGGGACTGGAACGTTCAGTGTGAAGTCTGGGGCTTCTCCTCCCCTGGCAAGAAAGGCCAGCAGAAATCGGCCTTGTTAGACGGCTCTGAACCGTTCCGAAGCAGCTGCGCAGGCTTAGGTCTGCTCACTTGGACCTTGCCCTGGCCTTAGCCTTCGGGGGCTTTTAGGGGGCACCCGCGTTAGCTCTGAACGCTTTGCTCCTATAGAAATCCCCAGCCAATGACGTCGGCAGTGGCCGGCCCGGGCCAGGTGGGGTGTTTTTCTCCTCTGCCTATTAAATGCGCCTTTGGAGAGACTCGGACCCATTGATCACAACCCCCACGCCTCTCAGCCTGTCCAGAGAGGTTGTGGAGTGTGGTGGTCGCCCAGTGGTGGCGGTGACTGCAAGATTCCTTAACTTCTAATCCGCTGCACCCGGCCCTCGGTGGGAAGGTTTCTGGGCCCCTGACTTTCAGCTGCAGGCCTTCATCTCTGTGGTCAAGGTTTGAGTGACAGGCCCTTGGCCTGCAGCTGATGACCAAGGAAAGCCACCTGGTGGTGAGCCCACCGCATGCCTCTGGGGCTCTGAGCTAGACCCCATTTCTTTCCCCACCACCTTATTGGCGTTGATTCAATTACTGAAGTGGCCCATGTTATCGGATACCTATAGCCAGATTATTAAAACCGGCAAGTTTTTTGATCTGAAATGTAGCCTCCTGGGGGCAGTTTCCATTTAGACCTTTATTTATTTTTTTCCTTTTTTCTTTGAGACGGAGTCTCGCTCTGTGGCCAGGCTGGAGTGCAGTGGTAGATCCCGGCTCACTGCAACCTCTGCCTCCCGGGTTCAAGCGATTCTCCTGTCTCAGCCTCCCAAGTAGCTGGGACTACAGGCGCGTGCCACCTTGCCCAGCTAAGGCGTGTGTGTTTTAGTAGAGATGGTCTTGTTCTCTTGACCTCGTGATCCACCTGCCTCAGCCTCCCAAAGTGCTGGGATTACAGGCGTGAGCCACCTTGCCCGGCCCCCATTTAGACCTTCTGTAGTGACAAGTTGGGTTCTGTCTGAGAAGGGAAAGGGAATGGGTGGTGTTAGCATGAACTCTTGCCTTGTTGATAATGTTAGTGTTGGTCTTCAACCCTCTGGGCAGGTGAACTCCCTTCAGCTGCGTGCCTAAGGGCCTCACCTGAGCCCTGTCTCAACACGGCATCTGGCTTCTCAGGGCTCTCTGTCCTGAAGAGGAGATTAGAATTGGAAAGGGCCCGTTGAAGGCTTTTTTTGTTTGTTTTTGGCTAATCACTGTTGACTAAAGAATAATCTCTTAACACCAAAAAACTGAAATTCTTGGCTGGGTGCAGTGACTCGCACCTGTAATCCCAGCACTTTGGGAGGCCAAGGCGGGTGGATCACCTGAGGCCAGGAGTTCAAGACTAGCCTGACCAACGTGGTGAAACCCCCTCTGTACTAAAAATAGCCAAGCATGTTGGCGGTCGCATATAATCCCAGCTACTACGGATGCTGAGCTAGGAGAATTGCTTGAACCCAGGAGGTGGAGATGGCAGTGAGTTGAGATCTTTCTACTGCACTTCAGCCTGGGCACCAAGAGCGAAACTCTGTCTCAAAAAAAAAAAAAAAAAAAGCTGAAATTCTCAAATTTGGGTAAACATAGTTCAGCCTTGTCTCTGCCCATTGCAGTTAAAATGCCACAGCCTGGAGTTCAATTCCCTTCCTAAATGGGGTTGGTGCTTGCTGTAGTCTCAGGTGATAACTTTTCAATCTAGTGACTTGACAGTTTCCCAAAGGGCATCTCTTCTCTGCTCAGAAAAGAGCATAGTAAGCTACCTTCCTCCTGGTTTTGAGTCAAGATATGAGTGTTCCTGCACCAAGTGACAAAGTTAAGTGGTTGCTTCTGTTCACCCTGTTAGACTTACCAATCCTCACTCTTCAGGGGCTCTTCATTGCTGGATGTGTATCGGTCAGAATCTCCTTTCCTTTTACTCTCTCAATCCAGACCTTACTTTGCTGTTTAATCTGGAAGTTCCCACGTGTTTTGAGTGAGGTTCTCAGCATCATGAGGCAATCTAACTTTTCTCTCTCCCTGCTGTAGGATGGCTTTTGTCACTTCTTCAGGAGCCCCTTTCCGCTGGCTTTTTGGAGAACACTGCTGATCCAGGCTTTCCTGGCATGCTTGTTAGCAACAGCCTTCGGTTATCTCTGGACACGATTATTATGAGTTTTAAAATTTTTAACCCACTTCTACCTGCCCAACTGTGACCAACTAAATGACAGAGGTGTGAGAACAAGAACTGAGAGAAAGCACCTTCCCCCACCGCAGACGTTTTTACCTGAATGCATACAAGGAGTCCTGAGGTGGTGATGTGGCCAGTGTTTTAACTTGTGACAAGTACTCAGGTGTGAGGACAAGAATGCAAATGGCTCTTCCCTGAGTGAAAGAAATGGGGAGTCCAGTGCCTCATTATGCCAAAGAATCACAGAAGAAACTTCTTTCCATTAAATGGGGAAATACAGTGCTATTTGCTAAAACTCGGATAAGAATGCGAACCTCTCATCTCTCCACAACTTCATGTGCTGCTGACTAATTTTAATCATGGCCACAGCTGGGGCAAAATAATCCCCAAAGCAGAAAAAGTCCCAGTTTAACAAGGAATGTAATGTTAAAATCACTTATAAGGAATTCTTTGAAACCAAATCCTTTGAAATCTAATTCCTGGGACTTCTAGGTTTTTATAGTTAACATATTAATTTCTTCAATAAATGGTTAACTTCAAAGTTTTAATAAATTTGTATCTTTAAAAAAACTTAGTTGTCTTTCCTGATTCAATAAGCTCTCGTTCTTAGGAGTAAGTAGAATTGATGATAATTTGTTTTTATTGTCTCCTTAAATATACATTTAACAATGCTTTTTTTTTGTCCTCAACACTTAACGCACAAGCTCAAAGTCCCTCCCTCCTCTCCCCTCTTCCATTCTGCAAACTATCACCCACCTGCAAGGTGGTTAACAGCCTGATTCCCTGCATGCCTTCCTGCCCGTTATTACACTTGCATTTTATAAAACTTAACTGGACCTGCTGTTTTGACTTAATCTTATGAGTGCTTTCTCTCCAGAACATGCAGCTCTGCCTCACTGTTTGGACTGTTGCAGTGCGTTCTTCATTAGATATGCTGATTTAATTACCTTTTCACTGCTGTGTATTTCAGGGTGTTTCTCCTTTTTGGGGCTGCTAGAAACATTGCATGGAATTTTTTGTGAATAGCCTTGCACACGTACACAATTACATTGGTAAAAGAATCCTAGAATGAGAATATAGAGAATCTAATCCCAATGGATGTGTATTAATTTGGCTACTCCCAAGTTATTACTCAAAATAGGCTCGACCAGTCCAAACTTACATCAGGGCATGAGAGTGCTTAGTTCTTCATCCTTGGCAGTGTTGGGTTTTTTGTTTTTTTTGTTTTTTGTTTTTTGTTTACTTTGTTGCCCAGGCTGGAGTGCAATGGCAAGATCTTGCTTGGCTCACTGCAACCTCTGCTTCCTGGGTTCAAGTGGTTCTTGTGCCTCAGCCTCCTGAGTAGTTGGAATTACAGGCGCCCACCGCTGTGCCTGGCTAATTTTTGTATTTTTAGTAGAGACGGGATTTCACCACATTGGCCAAGCTGGTCTCAAACTCTTGACCTCAAGTGATCCGACCCCCTCAGCCTCCCAAAGTGCTGGGATTACAGAGATGAGCCACGTGCCTGGCCAGATCTATTCTGAATGTTTGCCTTTATGGCTTCAGGGTTTGGGGCCTTCTTGAGGAAGCTCCTTATCCCAAGAGTATAAAAAGTATACTATGTCCTTCATCACTAATCCATTCTAAATTTCTTTTAGTGTCATATGAAGTAGGGCTCATCTCTTGAAGAGCTGCGGTGGATATTTCAGCGTTATTCATTGACAGTCTTTTCTTCCCCTGCTGATTTGAATACATGCTCTATTCGGTTCTGTTGACATCTTTTCATCTACTAATAGCACTGTCCCAACTGCTATGTGTTCCCAGGATATTTGAATATCTGATGGGATAAGTCTAATCCCTTCCCCTGTTCTTCAGAAAAATCCTCGGCTCTTTTAGTAGTGTAAGGTGAATTTTTAAAAAATCAGCTTATAAAAAATCCCTTTGAGGCCCGGCTCAGTGGCTCACGCCTGGAATCCCAGCACTTTGAGGGGCTGAGGCAGGCGGATCGCTTGAGGTCAAGAGTTCAAGACCAGCCTGGCCAACATGGCAGAACCCCATCTCTACTAAAAATACAAAAATTAACCAGGCGTGGTGGCACGTGCCTGTAATTCCAGCTACTCAGGAGGCTGAGGAAGGAGAATTGCTTGAACCTGGGAGGCGGAGGTTGCAGTGAGCCAAGATTGCACCACTGCACTCCAGCCTGGGTGACGGAGCAAGATTCCGTCTCACAGAATCCATTTAGGCCAAGTGTGGTGGTTCTCACCTATAATCCTAGCACTTTCGGAGGCCAAGGCAGTGGGATCACTTGAGCCCAGGAGTTTAAGACCAGACTGGGCAACATAGTGAAACCATCTTTAGAAAAACAATTTTTAAATTAGCCCATCTGGTCTGAAGAAAAAGCAGAATAAAGGAGGACCAAAACCCCAAAATTAGCCAGGCATGGTGGTGCACGCCTGTCATCCCAGCTACTGAGGAGGCTAAGGAGGGAGAATTGCTTGAGCCCAAGAGGTTGAGGTTGCAGTGAGCCGTAGATCACACCATGGCACTCCAGACTAGGTGACAGAATGAAAGTGGATCAATCTGGAAATATATAGTATCTTTACAATATTGTCTTCCCTATTTTTTGTTGTTGTGTTTTGTTTTTTGAGACGGAGTTTCACCATGTTGCCCAGGCTGGTCTTGAACTCCTGAGCTCAAGCAATCCACCCCCTCGGCCTCCCAAAGTGTTGGAATTACAGGCGTGAGCAATGTTGCCTTCCCTTCTAAGAACTCCTGCTCCATTTATTCACGTCTCTTATGGTTTTCTCTATATAGGTTCTATTTAGATGTTTTCCAGCTCTTTGGCTTCTGTCACTATTGGGAATGGACTCTACAGAGGATGTCTGCCTTCCCCAAAGCCATGTCCTCTTGTGATGATAGTTCAGTTTTCCTGCGGGAACCTACCCATCCTCTATTCTTAGGCCACGTGGCTCTGGTGGGGTTGACTCCTCACTTCATTCCACCCCAAGATTGGGACTATGACCCAGATCTGGCCTAGAGAGCCGACCCCTAAGCAAAGCTGGCAGGGGTTGATGCTAGAGTTCCTGTAAACACTGTGACACTTCTTTTCCACTGGAGTATGGAGGGAACCTGCCTGGTGGAGAACACCACACAGGAGAGAGTCTACAATTCAGAGGTGGGATGGGGTGTGGAGAAACCGTTCTGGTGACATTACTTAAATCTCACAATTTGGCTGTGCCTAAAGCTACTTGGGACTCAGATTTCCTTTTCTGCTTTGTTGTTGAAAGTAAAACTCAATTCAGTCCCAAATCCGATGATTGATCTTTCCCTATTACATTTATTATTCGGTTATGAATGCCATAAAAGGAAACTTAATGTAGATTCTGAACTGGCTATTTTGAACTCCCATTAGTTCTGTTTCTTTTTCAACACTTAAACTTTCTTTATCTTCGATAGTTGCTTAGGTTCATGAAAGGTAGTGATAACGTTCTGTACCTACCAAGAATTCCCTTCGTTGCTGGTCTATTGATGCCACCTTTTCTTCTGGCATTCTTTTTCACTTTAGCATTTGAAGAGGAAGATGTGGAAGCCTGGCCCAGACCATCATTCAGCCTAGACTCCCTGTAGACACACGTGGGTTCATCCTGCAGCAAGAACCCATCTCCTAACAGTGCGCTCAGCTGGTAGCACAGTGGTGAGGCCTGCCAGGGTCAGGGGATGGTGAATGGCTGCAAGAAGGAGTTATTTTTCTGACCTGATCATCATGTCATTGTTTCCTGGCATGTGGATGCTTGTTCCACAAGCTAAATATTCTGGGCTCATAAGAGGAAGGATGATTAGTATGATGCGAGGCTGATTGCTAGGACAATTTCAATTCTCTCAAGATACAGATTCTTACACCCTGAGATACCATCACCCATCAGCCTGGAAATCACAGGTCTGTCCCCTTCAACAGCAGTTCTCAAGGGGTGGCAGTCCTGAAGTCTTGGAGATCAGAGACTTTTGGCCTGATACACAACCATTTGCCTACTTCGAAAACTGTTATCTTCTCTCACGTTTTTCCTGCATTTCTGGCTTCTAGGACTTCCAGGTAAATGCTGTTTGCTTCACTCATTGATTGTTTTTTTCCAGTTGTACTTTCCCTATAACTTTGAAGTCCTTCTGGACCTGCCTCCCTCGTCTCTCTGCTGTTTTTCTCCACCAGCACCTGATCATTCCCAGGACATACTCTTTTTCTCTGTTAATCAAAATGTCTTCCATTCTCCCTTTAGTATCCTCGGTGTTCAAATACTTACTAATGATCTTAGTAACGACCTTCGTTATCTTTAATGGCCCACAGGTACACAAAATCACATTAATCATTAGTTTAAAACATATTCCTGATTGCTTTATGCATGCATTTTTATTTTATTTATTTATTTATTTATTTATTTATTTATTTATTGAGATGGAGTCTCGCTCTGTCTCCCAAGCTGGAGTGCAGTGGTGCGATCTCAGCTCACTGCAACCTCCACCTCCTGGGTTCAACTGATGCTCTCGCCTCAGCCTCCCCAGCAGCTGGGATTACAGGTGCGCACCCCCACACTCAGCTCACTTTTTGTATTTTTAGTAGAGATGGAGTTTCACCATGTTGGCCAGACTGGTCTCAAACTCCTGACCTCAGGTGATCCACCCACCTTGGCCTCCCAAAGGGCTGGGATTACAGGTGTGAGCCACTGCGCCTGGCTCAAGCTTCCCAATTTTAAGTCCTGTAATGGTGACCCCCAACTTTCAGATGTAGTTCAAATTGCTGAAATCAATTCACAAGAGCCTATGTGATCAGCATTTTATTCAACTTTTATTTCTTTATTCTAAAAAAAAAAAATGGGATACATGTGCAGACTATACAGGCTTGTTACATAGGTATACGTGTGCATGGTGGTTTGCTGCCCCTATTGACCCATCCTCTAAGTTCCCTCCCCTCAACCCTCACCCTTATTCAACTTTCTGGCCTTATCTCCTGCTATGCACAAACTACCCCAACATACACTGTGCCTTCTCCCACCCCTTCCCTGCTTCCATCTGTCCTTCTACCTACTGCATTCGTTTTGCAGCTGAATCCTGCTTGCTATTCAAGTCCTCTCTTCTAGAAGCCTCCCTGGGAGGACCCTCTCCTGCACAACATCCTGGACTGTGTGCTCATTCATGGCTCAGCCTGCGGCCGTTGACTTGTGTCACCCCATCTGAGCCATAACGTCCTTGAGGGCAGGACTGTGTCCTACTTACTCCATTTGTATACCCAGAGCCTAGCAGTGTCTGGTATGGGATAGAGGAAGGGACCTATGGAATGAATCCGAGCACCAGTGCTAATTATACACTCCCAGGCTGGGTGAGGTGGCTTATCCCTGTACTCCTAGCACTTTGGGAGGCCGGGGCAGAAGGATCGTTTCAACCCCAGGAGTTTGACTAAGACCATCCTGGGCAACATAGTGAAACCCCATCTCTACCAAAAAAAAAAAAAAAAAGAAAAAGAAAAAGTAGCTGGGTGTCCAGGCGTGGTGGCTCATGCCTATAATCCTAGCACTTTGGGAGGCCGAGGCAGGT